CTCGCTTGCGAGACGAGTGCTCTAAAACAGATCTACAGGACTCCGCGAGAATGCAGAACATTTTTTTGTGAAAGATACTACCATGTGGAACAAGACTACCAGCACAGATGGTAGAATTAGAAACTGCACAAAGGATTCAAACACGAACCAATCAAGCTCCTGCCAACTTAAAGGAATCACAGTTATTCAATTTAATCATTTATCATATTGAAAGTGGTCCTGTGCTGAACTTATGCATAAAATGTGACTGTTACATTACACCAGCAGCAACCAGTCTCAGCCAGGACATTATCAACAGATGATGCAACTCTTTTGTCCCCAACATAGATCAAGCAGTTAGTGGAGCAGATTTAACACTATATTTGCCAAAAGTTATCAGGAACTGAATAGACCCAATAGTTTAAGCAGCTGTTTTATTCAGCCTAATTGGGCATACAAAAGTAAACTAATCATTTGGAAGCAAATACAATAGAGACAATATAGCATCTATTCATATTTAATAATAATCCTTGCCTTTGATACACCATCTTTCACATCAGGAGGATGTCTCAAAGCTCTTCACATGGTAAAGTATAATGTTTCATGCATTTTGTGGGGATTGTTGACCAGGACACTGGGAGAAACTCCCTTGTCTTTTCAAATAGTGTCATGGCATCTTTAACATCCACTTGAACTGACAGATGGAACCTCCATATAATGTCTCATTCAAAGGATGGCACCTACGACAATGCAGTATAACCACAGCACTGCACTGAAGTGTCCATCTTAGACTATGTGAATCCAAGTCCCGACATGGAGCTTGAACCCACAACCTTCTGACTCAGAGGCGAGAGTACTACCAATGTGCCAGGCTGATACACATCAAACTGGATGGGTGTCAGGGACCCTCTCCACTTACCTCCCCCTTTTCAATGGTGAAATCTGCAAAGGCAAGCCTGAGAAAATAAAGTTTTATCTTATGGCCTTCTATGGGTCGTAAACAGAATATCGACTTTTGGAGATTTCTATTAATACCCAAGCTACAAATCCAAAGCCACAGGTGCTGGATTCATCATTGTGAACAGAGTTGGGGGTGGGGGGGAAGAAAGAGGAGTGATACAATAATGCAGGTCCATTCAGACCAGCATTTCTTAATTCAAAATAAAATAGATACAAGATTAACAGTAACAGCAAAATGCCCAGGTTAAGGTCATTAAGTCTGTAATCAATTCTGGTAACAAGTAATCACTTGGCTTCTATATTAAACCTTCAAGGGTATGAAAACATGACTTTTGACTAGATGAAGCAATCTTGTTTCTGGAATGGTGACTGGTATCAATGGATGCATTACCTATGTCCTTAAGTCACTTGCAATCTCATTTTTAGATCATCTGGCATCGCCTTCCTAGAAATAACTGCACCAATACAGCGTCCAATACAATTTTATCGTTCCTTTTTCTTTCTAAAGCAAAGTTGTAGACTTTTATGCTTCTTACTAAGTGTCATCATTCTAAAAGCCATTTTTCTTGCTCAAAAACCTTTTCCCTCTACTGCTCTTCCTTCTCTGTCAACCTGAAATAAGAGAAAGTACATTGACTTCTGTACCATAAAGTTCCTTCAGAAAACCCACTGCATAAAGCACAAAATAAATGACTCATCCATCTTTGTCAAGGTTAAAATCCCATCTGGGATATATATATTATTTTTCAAAAGATAACGCAATACTCATTGGGCTGTGATTTACATTGACGTGGTGGATTCACAGGTAATTGAGGGATTCCCTTATGGTACAGGGGATGCCTCCTACTTCCAAAGATTAGACTGTGTTTTGTCAGATTTTATCTGATTTTAGTGTCAAAACACTGCCTGCTAATTCGGATGATCAGACAATTGGAACCTGCGCCATTGCTCTCACAAATAATTTATCACAATGATTTGCACTTTTGGTTTTGATTTTACCATTTTAGATATGACTCGTACAGCTGTATTCCTGTAAGGTTTCAATGCATTTCCCATCCCTTTGTGTGGACAACAACAAAATTACATTTGTATAGCGCCTTTCACGTCGGGAGGACATCCTAAGGCGATGGACAATCAGTGTTTTGGACCTGAGCTGGGGGTCGGGATCAGGGAGGATGGAGGGCAGGTGGATAAGGAGGGTGATCAAAGGCACGGTAGGAGGACATATGGATCGCATTCATTTTAATGGGCTTGGCTCTGATTTTAAGATTATGGTCCCTTGTTCTGGAGTTGTCATTCCTCATCAATTCCCTTCATTATCTTGAATTATCTTGAATAATGAATTGTCTTCGTTATCTTGAATAACTCAACCTGATAAGAGTTTGCTAGGCAAAAGAAGACCAAGGTCCATCTAGTTCTCCTTTCACCACCTTGGCAGCCGCTTGACATGTCGTGTCCCAAATTACATACTGTATCCCGAGCTATTAATTTCCTGCAGAAATCTCTCTAATGTCCCAAACTATACAATGTATCCCAAGATATTATTTTCTATAAGAAATTTGTTCTTGAAACAAACAACATTTTCTCCTTCCACTGTCACCCTGGGGAGCCTGTTCCATACGTTTACTACTCGCTCACTGAAGTAGTGTTTCCGCAGATTTGTTTTGAATTTACCCCCCTTCAATCGTAGCCTGCGTCCTCTGGTTCTACATTTCAGTGCAAGATAAAACAGCTTGTCATGGCCTACATTATCTGTTCCCTTCAGAATTTTAGACCGTAATCATATCTCCCCTCAACCTTCTCTTTTCCAGTTTATCTAATCACTCCTCGCGGTCCAGTCCCTCCATCTCAATCATTTTGGTTGCCCTCCTTTTTATCCTCTCAATCGCTGCAGTATCTTTTTTTTTTATCATCCCTTATCCTCCTTAGCTCTAGAAAATATACCTAGGTTTACTCAACTTCTCATCACAGCTAAAGTCCCTTCATCCCACATAGTGTATTATATATTATATTAATAGATGTTAAGATATAGAAGTGTTGGTGAAAGTTTAAGTGAACAAATTGGGTGATTCAATTTTTCAGAAGATACTATTTGTATGGAATCTGCCATAGAAACACAAATGAAAATTGTATTTTCCATCTATACCCAAGCTCCAAAGTCCTGAGACTTGTCTCTTGTGTGAAACATACCACAATACAACAGATGGACCTGAAGATTTTCTCCATTACCTTAATTTAAAATCAATGGCTCAAATTGTTGGTTTCCAATCCCAGACTGATTTAAATGCTGCTTTTCAGGATATAGATTGAGTTACGTTGTTACCCCATGAAGTGGGAATGAAAAATATGGGTTAATAAAGGACATCCAAAACGGATTTGTTAAAAGCAAATCGTGTCTAACAAACCTGAGTTTTTTGATGAAGTAACAGAGAGGGTGGATGAAGGTAGCGCAGTTGATGTAGTTTATATGGATTTTCAAAAGTTGTTTGATAAAGTGCCACTTAAGAGACTTGTAAGCAAAATAGAAGCCCACGATATTAATGGGACAGTGGCAGCATGGAAACAGAACTGGCTGGGAGACAGAAAGCAGAGAATGATGGTGAATGGTTGTTTTTCTGACTGGAGGGAAGTGTGCAGTCGTGTCCCCCAGGGGTTTGCATTACGACCACTGCTGTTTTTGATCTATATAAATGACCTGGACTTGGAAATTGTACTCCCTATACCCACGTTTGCAGATGATACTAAGCAAGGAAAAATAGAAAACGTTGAGGACGACGGTAGCAAATTACAAGAGGGGCTTTATAAGTAGGGGCCCAGAATACAAAAGTCAGGAAATTATGATGAACCGTTATAAAACACTGGTCAGGTCAGAGTTGTTCGGATCTCGAATTAATTGCCTGAAAGGATGGTGGAAGCCAATCCGATAACTTTTAAGAGAAATAGATAAATATTTGGGGAGGACAAGTTTGCAGGGCTATGGGATGAGAGCGGGCAGTGGGATTGATTTGGATAGCTCTTTTCAAAGAGCTGGCACAGACCCTATGGGCCGAATGGCCTCCTTCTGTGCTGTATAATTCTATGATTCTATGAAACACCAAGATCTGCAATCAGGCACAGCAATGGCAGCATTCAATTCTTAAACCTTACATTTTCCCCTAATCTGTATAGGCATGCTGTATACAACAACAAGATTACATTTGTATAGCGCCTTTTACATCAGGAGGACGTTCCAATTATATATTCCTTTGTCATCACGTCATATTTGTAAAGTACTTTATATACTTTCCTCACAATTTCCTTAGTATTGCCCAGTGATTCGCCCACTGATCATACAATTCCCCTTTCAACTAGTTTTTCATTAATACTTCTCTTAATGTCTTTTTGTCTGGATTAAAATCCCCTACAAGTGTTTGAAAATCCAAGCTTCATATCACCTTCTTTCTACTTAACTTCTTGTTTACTCTGCTACTCTTTTCAACCTTGATGATGGAATGTACTATTTGGCCTTTCAGAAAAGTTCTCAATAAAAGGAAATTAAAATGTCACACTATTGCATCGAAGAAAATTTTGAGATTGGATATATCATTAATACAGATTAGCGCAAAGCTCTTCCTCCAATATGGACTGTCTTGATCAGACGTGAAATTGCTGGTTGCTAATCTAGGTGTCAAAAATTCCATTCTTAACACTGATCAACTGAATAAACAACGTTAAAAAAAATACATTATACAGGATCTTTAACCTGAATATAGTTATGAAGCATGTCAATCGGCTGCCCAGGTATCTACCAGTGAAACTTTGTCACTTTAATATTTTGGGGGGGATGATAATCATTGAAATGAAGAGAGCATAGAATAGGTTATGACCTAAATCTTCAAAGGGTTTTGTTCAATTGAAACATCTACTTGGAGCCTTGAACAATAAAATAAGGTTCAACTTTGTTGTTTAACCTTCAACAAGAGCAAAATGACCATCCGAATCTCCACCTTCTCTTCCCCGTTCACCCAGCTTAAACCAAAACGAAAAACGGGATGTTCCCAATAAAAATAAAGTAAATGGAGTAACATGTAAATTATGTTTTATTTATGTAAGAGAAAACAACAATTTTTAGTACGACTACACAAGGTCAATTTTCAAGTTGCATACCAGAAGAAAACCACTGGATGTGACAGATTTTGCCTGAATTCTACTTTTGTCTAAACATTATGAGATTTAAAATTTATGGTTACAACTTTCCTGTGTTTCCTGGGTAATTACCTGAATAATAAAAGTTCAGTTTTATAAATCTATTCCAAAATTACTTTCACTAAACAAAAACGAGTCACACCAACACAACACCAACAGAAGGATTCCCACTAGGGTATACAAAAGCCCCAGGACTTGACATTCTTTCACACAGTAAGTTCCAGCTAACAAATGGAATAGTGTTCTGAAGCAAAAACTCTTGTGCATATTTTTCACTCATGCAATAATTTCATTTTAATACAATAGATACAATGCTGTACACATGAGTTTTCACTGCAAATTCCATTTTTCTTAACATTCTCTTGCTTGTTACCCCACAATTTAAGCACTGTTCCAAGACACAAGTTAAAAGGCGGTAGATTAACATTTAAATTAAATCCTTACCATCATAAAAATATGGAACCTTGTCATGATAAAGCTCCCAGCTGCATGTTCTTTTGTTGTGAATCACTTAAGAGTTAAGCCACACTGGTGCTGGTATAATGTTATAGGGGTTATGCACCAAATGTATGAGTTCAAACCATGATCCTGGAGATAAATGGATACTAAGCACATGTGGAATGAGGCTTCTGAACTCATTTTATTAAAGCAATATTTTTAAAACACAACTACAGTACTAGAATGGAATTAGTTCACGTGCAATTTTTCAATACTGTTGCAGTCTCTTATTCGGGCTGACCAAGTGGAAACAGAAGGAGTAAGTTTGTCAAATGTCAAAGGGAAAACCAAGGGGTCTTTTACATTTAAAAATTTGTGAAAGAGTACTTCTATATAGAGAAATAGGCTCATCTACTGCTGTGAAATAAACTAGACTTTACACTTCACATATATACGAGTAAAAGTCTTGGGCAGAAATGCACCAGTTGATGACAGTTGACATGATGGACCAGTTTGTCAATTACTATGCTTGAATCAGGGCTTTCTCTAAATAGTAACTGAACAGAAATTAGACATATTAGATCTGATGTAGATCTCGTACCTAAAATATCCTTTTTTTTCTTATTCAGATGCTAAGTAACTGAATTTTCTGCATTTCTATTTTACTACAATTTTCCAGCATTTTTCACACATATATATGTGTATATATAAAGAGAAAGATATATATATATATAAATATATATTATACATGAACGGTTGCTTGGATCTCATATGTGTTATTTTACACTCTGTAAACACTAAATTTATCCAATGAATGCCAGAATATGCACTACCTTTTAACAAATAAAACAAAAAGATGGGTTATTGGCTAAGCCCTCAGTTTTACAACAGTACAGATTTGAACTAGTAGGGAACCATACTCCTGAATATGGAAGGCACATGGAACCCTAATTTTGTAAGATATAAGCACACAACATCTCCAGAATCGAGTTTGGTATTGCCAAACTCAAATTTAGGAGAATGCAATGTTGTGCTTTACAGTAAGTCAAATGATCTTCAGCAATAGAAACAGTGATTTATGTTTTGTGCTTGTAAAACAATTGCATGTTTTCCTTAGTGTATTGGTATCTTCTGAGAATACGTTATTATAAATTAAGGCAATCAGATCCAATACAGCTGTAGTGTAAGTAGGAGCCCATGGGTTCAGTGGTCTCCCAGACTGGTTGGTTTCCATACTTGTAAAGGAGTATACAGAAACATGAAATGTGTGAACCCACATTGCAAATTAATTGATGCCATAACACTTGCTAAACAAGTATTGTATTTATTAAGCTAGTGAATCAACTAGGAGAAAAATCTTTACTTCCATGATAGTAATCTGCCAGAGGCAAACATTCAAAGCTAGTATTTAAATGACATTACACAAGTCTAAAAAGTTCAAATCAAGTGGAGGTACACTTACTGTAGACAATTTTATCAATGGTGGGTGGCATCAAACAACCAGCAACTCCTCCAACACACAAATGCATTTTTCTGAGCCTATTGTCATAATCCATAGTACAAGAAAAATAAACATTCCACTCAAGCGGTATGATATCCACTGAGTTGCATATTAATCATTTTTAGTAAAGAAAACAAAATTTAAAACCAGGAGATCATTTCAGGAAAAGAAAATCTTGCATAACTTCTGGTTGGTTTCACATTGGCAAAATATTAACTGACAATTTGCTTCATTTACTACAATAGTTTTCACATAGGCATAATGTTTGGATTCATTAGTTAAAACTAAATATGGCATGATATCCAAATTGGGTTTGTTGAGCTAAAATTAACAAATTAAAAATAAATCCTACAACACAAAAATATAGGCTGAAGAGCAAAGCAATGTGAAACCTCATATTGACCCAACTACACTTGTTAATTGTTAGTATTAAACAAATCCCAAAAAGTTAAAATGGTTTCTCACATTCACTCAATCTTCTGGATTTCAACTAAGAGGTTGAATTTAGAAAGACATCAGTTATTGATAAAAGCTTTAGGAAGGTAGAAAGTGCTTGACAAAGTTAACAGCGCTCAAGTGTGTTTTGTGAGACAAGAGTATAAGGGCAAACACAGCAATGAGAACCAACAAGGAAAGCCAATCTCAAAAGTTCAAGAGTGTTCACAAGAGGATGCCTCGAGCAGAAAAGTTCCAATAACCATTGTTCCTTGGATATACCAGGCATTTCCAAGGTCTGTATCATTAGTGTTGTAGTTCTAGAAGAGCAGCTCTACAGTTATTTGCTTCGGTTCCGCTCCTGCAAAAACAATACAAACATCTTTTTAAGCCTTTGTTGTCCCCAAAGCATAAATCATTTCATACTTGACTTGAATAGGTACCATATAATAGCCCTTGCATTTGATATAGCACCGCATCACACCTTTGACATGTCTCAAAGCGCTTCGCGGGATATACTGTAAAGTGGATTGACTATATTTGTGTGGGAAAATCTTGGCAACCAGTTCAGGTAGATGTTAAAGATCCCATGGGACTATTCGAAAAGAGAAGGGAGTTTCTCCCAGTGTCCTGGCCAACAATCCCCCCAAAATAAAATTGGTCACTCACTCCATGGCTGTTTGTGGGACATCGGTGTACCCAAATGGGCACTGCTATGCACAAACTTTATTTCCATCACAAGTAACTAAAAATTTGCAAGGTGCAAAAAGCCTCAAATGGATGAAATTCCTTAGAAATTAATGAAATTCTTTACAGATGAAGGATAAGCAGAATGAAATGTTGAGCAACTATGTGTACATATAAACAAACAGATATCAATTTAAATAGTTTAAAGAAGCAATTTTTTTAAAAAAAAACTTGACATGACTTCGCTTCAGTCACATTGACATTTACCAATAAAATTGCAACTGTTGTTCAATAGTATATATTCTTACTTATCTTTTATTATTTTTTAAGTAGATTATTTGCTGCACTGTAACATGAAACTCAAGATTCGGATCACTGGATGTAAATTAGTTTTCCAACTTCCCCCTTCCTCAGAATACTTAGTTAACATGAAAGGCCCAATGTACATTTAATTGTGTGCCACTTATTCATAATAAGTGAACTTTAAAGTTTAACAAAGCATTTTAAAATCACAATATTTGACAAAGAATTGAATGGCAATGCTCTAATCAAACAATCCTCAACTAAAACTAACCCTTTATAATCGCCAAATTGTGTTGAATATGCAAGGAAATGACCGCCTGAAAAAATATTTATCTGCAACGAATTGTTGCAAACTTGCTGCAGAGCAACCCTGTTTTTTTTGGCGAGCGAGGTTTTCCCTATTCACTCCACTGAGCCAAATTAAACAGACTCACGTTCCACAAACAGGAACTTGGGTTGCGCCGAAAAAACCCTTATCCCCACCTCATAATCCAGATACCTAATCATCAAAGGATGATATGGACCCAATTCCTTGCATCATTATTGCCCGAGCAAGTCAGCTGGCCGGATTGTCTCTCCAAGCTGTCTGAGACAGGGCTCAAGGTAGTTCTGTATTCTAGTTTTTGCACTCCTCTTTATGAGGGTGGATCAAACTCCTCAGATCAGGACTCTGTTGTTAAACTCCTGGCTAGAGTGCAGGTCTGCTTATGATGTGGGTGCCCTATAGATGTAAGGTTACCAGAAATGCGATACACTTCTGGCATGGAGCTAAAAAATTTGCTGCCGTCAGGTTGCCACTGATATCACTTTCTGTGCAGTGCTTTCTTACTGATTTCTTCCTACCTGGTGTGTACTACATCTGTAAAGCCCACTAGAAACAACTAGCAACACTTTTACCAAATTATACTTAGATGATTCAATTTGGATTTTAGAACTCTAAATATGAGTAAACTTTGACAAACACCAAGTGTTTATTTGTTTAGAGTGATCTATAATTTTCTCACACAAAGGCGTTATACTAGAAACTTTCTTTCGTCTGAATATTAAGATTTTCCTAATGGTTGGTGGAGAAAACGAGGTCATTTTTAAACCATATTTCTAAACCAAGCATGCCCAATTTTTACCAAAAAGATTTAAAAATGCAAGACAACACTATTATTCAAACACTACTTTTTCTTTAGAATCTTATCGCTGAAATGAGTATCTAAATCAGACAGTTATACCTATGCACACATGGAAATTTCCGTGTCTGGAATCCTACCATTGTGAGCACTGTTTGGTAAGCCTCCTGCTGCTTATCCAGCAGGAGGTCCACCCTATCTGTTAGGATTAAAAGGAGCCAAGTGGGAAGAATCCCTGCCTCCCCGGTGACCAATCTGCTCCTCCAAGTCCTGCCAACAAGCCAGGCTGGCTAGTCTGTCATCAGCAGTATCTTGGCATACTTTTTTTAAATTTCGCCCATAAAAAATACAGTCATTCCACTTTAGTGTAAATACAAAGCATGCTAGACGTCTCGATGACATAATAAGGTTTTATATCAAATACAACGATTATTATTATTACTGTGGACCTGTCTAGTTTACGAACCTAACTACCGAGGGTTGACCTGAATCTGATATTCCATTGCCAAGCAAGTTACCTTGGAGCCAGCTCAACTTCAAAAAAGACTGCTTACCTCGCCATAATGATAGAGTGGCTGATCCAGCATTTTTATTAAATTCTTTTGGTTTTATTTTTGGCTGAACAATTTTTATTCAATTTCTGCATTTGTTTTTCAGAAAATACGGTAAGTAGTGTTCAGGCCCTACTGATGAAAAGCTTCATTTATAAGTTTGATCCAATTCATAATAACCAGTTTTGCACAATAAGTATGGATGCAGGTTCCATACTGTATGCTATATGTGTACCGTCGTTTCATCTTACCTACAACAAAAAAAACTGTCTTAAGATCTGACTATATACTTCCAGTAATTTAAGACCTCTGAACAGATACCAAAAATAGCATTCGACGAAGCCGTTGGAGAAAGAGATCTACAAATCTACAGATACATTTCAGGCATCAGCAAGGAAGGCTCAAAGTATTCTCTTAACCTTCCACCCTCTAAATCTCTACACTGAATATTAGATCCATTACTGACAAAACAATTCCTTTCCCATTTTGACTCGGAAAGCACATTTTGGTAGGACGATTTCAACAATGACTGACTATTTTACAAATTTCATCAAGAGAACATTTCCAGGACTTTTTTACGTTAGAACATTATGGACATATATGATCCAACAAGAATCAGACCTATTCAGGGACAGCTCTGGCACATTCTTTATACAAAGGTCTACGAAGCAGTGAAGCAAAATAAAGCTAAAATTTTGGATGTACAACTTCAAGATTTTTTTCTAAAACACTGAATTTGAAATGAGAATTAATTTGCAAATGACTGACAAGTTATTACGTACCATGTTCTTACAAGTAGCTATGGTAAAGTGTCCTATCTTCATGGCCCACAGGCTCTCAGAAGGAACAGAATGTTTACAGCTAGACAAAGCTAAGTAAATAGCACTCCAATAATGCATGCAAATACCGTATATGTTCCAAAAGGCAAAAAATACCTAACAGATGAAATCCTCGACCCTTTGTAAAAAGCAGAAAAATTAGATATTCTTCAGTCAAATGTCGGGACATAATTAGCGTACTTTCCTACACATGTTTTTTTTCTGCAGTTAAATATGTTTCTTTCACCTCTTGTATCTTCTTTGTGCATATTGATAATTTCCTTTAACTTCTTTCAAACTTCAATCCTGTGATTTACTTTTTAAACTTTCCCTCTCAGGTGGAAGTATTTGGGCTTCAATTGATGCCAGTCTCACTGACAGCTGCGAATCAAACTGCAGCAGGCAACAATATTACTTATGTGTTGCAACTTCACACCACCTAGTATGTATTGCTCTATATATTAATGCAGAGAGCTACGTGGTTTAGAATCTGAGAAACTCAAGGTATGAAAAATGTTAGTGTTCATCTCACCTGACATTATTGCTGTAAATTTGTCAGATTCGAATACTTAATGATGGATGTATAGCACTTAATCTGTTTATAGTATTGAAGTCTTAAGACGACCTTTGTGATTATTCAGAGGGCAGCAAATTGTATTTTCTTTTACATTTATATCGAGTCTAAGCTTGAACACAAGACTCACAATGGAGAAAATATTAATTCCAGTATAAGGAGCTTTACATAGATTAAACACTAAAGCCCAACTATTTCACACTGTGCATCAATCAGAGTTCATCCAGTTATTTAATTAGTTATTTTTCTTCAGCTCAAGTCAAATCCATTTGTCATTACTGATAGCCAATCATTTGAAAATACGCTAGCAATCCCATTGTAAGGCGCTTGATAATATTAGAAGTGTGTAACTAATAACTAATTATCAAAATGTTTTGAATATTGGTCTTCAATAATAGTGCACTTTGAATGTTTATTTCACTGAGAGTACAGGCAACTATTATACATTACACTATTAAGAGTATTTGAAAAATACATCTACCAAGATTCAGTTTAAGATTCTAAAATTGGAAACAAACTTTCATAATTCTTGCTCAATATAATAGATGAATAACTAATGTGTGTCAGATTAATTTGTGTGAAAGTTGGGAAGGAGGGAGAAATAAGATCATAATATGCCATATAATATTCCAAAAGCAAGGAAATATGGAAATACTAAGATTAGTATTCATTACTAGACTGTCAAAAATAAAATGTATCTCTGTAGTTTGAAACAATACTTAAAACTTCGCATTATGTAAGCAACATTAACAAAATCTCAGTATTTCAATGCATAGGTAGGACGTATTGAACTCTCTGTTGGTTTGGTTACTCTTAATAATAATCCTTGCATTTGATATAGCGCTTTTCAAGTCTTCTAGACGTCTCAAAGCTCTGCACACAATATGCTGTGAAGTGAATTGACTGTATACTTGTGGGCAAAACGCAGCAGCCAATTGCGCACAGCAGTGTCCCACATACAGTCGTGGATTGAAAATGACCAATTTATTATTGTTTTTGTTTTTTGGAGGGATTGTTATTGGGCACGTGGAGTAAGGAAATTTACTCTAATTCCCTTTTGAAAGTTATTATTGAATCCTTTCCCACTATCCTTTCAGGCAGTGCATTCCAGACCACAGCAACTCTGTAAAAAGTTTCTCTTCATCTCCCTTCTGGTCATGGAATAAAATATTCTATACAACTCATTAAATATTTGGAACCAACATTAACTTTTATTAGTTCATCCCAACCAAGAATAACTTTGTCAGTATTAGTTGGCATTGGGTAAAACATTGTAAACAAATCCTTGCTGTAAACTAAATGTGCATAAAAAAAACAATGCTTTACATGGTGATGGGTTTCGTCTTGTGTCAGACGCAGCTAACTAAAAAAAATTGCTGTGCACTGCGTTTAAATCTCCCAACGTGTCACAGCATATTAGTCATGTTTGTTGGGGAATGAGAAATACAATATGCACTTCAATATTTGTTATGTTGTGCAGCAATACGATTCTGTTATGAACATTTAAATAGGTTTCTTTTTTGCGCAAGTGGTTGCCTTGTCATTCGTAAATACTAATCCACAATTCACCTAAATTCGCATTTCATGGCCTTTTATGAGACACTGTTGTGTACAAATTGGCTTCCACATGCATGTGCCAATATGCAATCACAACACTTTGCAAAAAAANTGTTGTGAAGCACTTTAAGATTGTGTCCTCCTAAAATGAAAGGAGCTATATCAAATTCAAGGGCTATTATTTATTTAAGTGGGTTCCTGATCCATAGAAGGTGTGCACGTTGAGATCAGACTTGGCTATGCAGGCCAAATAAGTACCCACTCAAAACTCATTATCAAGAATCACAAATGAACAGTCAAGCAACACTGATTCAAAAGTTATGAACATTACCTTTGCTGAGTCTTAAAATTCTTCAATGTAGGACCACAATTGTAAATAGGACTTCTACGTTATATAAACAATCTTTTGCACCATTGCACGTTATGCACTCTAACAAAAACCTGTTGGAAAGTTATTAAACACCTGCATGCAAATTGCCACACAAGTGGAGAATACAGTATCAACAAAGAGAGTTCCATACTGCTGCTGTAGGCTTAAAATGAACCAGTTAATTTTTTCCTTACCCTACGTATGGCTTCCTCCTCCTCTTGACGCTTTTCATAATGTGCAAAATCATCAAAGATTGAGGTGGTATGCTTGTAAGTAGCAATTATTTTAAGCACTTGCTTGGCTTTCTCCAGGGGCACTTCTTGTGTGTCCCTCGAGTTGGTAACCGGCTTGTTATCATTATTTTCCAATCGAATATGTCGCAGTTGGTTATTCGGTACATCTTTCACAAAGATCCACTTAACCTCAAATTTGCCCTTCCACTTGTCCTGCGACCAGACTCCAGCATAAGCATTGTAGTCCACCGCTGACTTCATCTCAGCCACTCCACAAAAATGTCCACTTCCATTTACACTAAAAAGTAAATAGAGCGGCCCTTTACCATTCAGGGAACGGAAAGCAGCATCCAAGCGTTTATTACCATGCTCAGTACTACACCAGATAGAGTACTTGATAGAACGATGTATATCATCCTCAGAGTAGCTTTTAATTATAAATACTCGCCCAGTCTTTAGACTCCAATCAAAATCTTTGGGGTTGTAGTTGTGCATGCCTTTCAGTTTTTCCAACACAGGGTGTACATCTATTCCTGATGGTGAAGAGCTCAACGTTGCCATACCCAAACCAAAGCTCTCACTATTCGTCCCACTGTTCTGAGCAAAACCTGTTGCCCTGTTACGAGGAGCCACCCAGCGGTTTTGGGGCTGTGACTGAACTTGGGACTGTTGTTGTTGCTGAGGCCCTTGCTGCTGCTGCAGCTGTTGCTGAGGTGGATGAGTCTGAATTGTGATCGGCTGCTGGACAAGTTGCTGTTGGACCAGTTGCTGTTGGACAAGCTGCTGTTGGACAAGTTGATGTTGGACAAGTTGATGTTGGACAACAGTTTGAGGAGGCATTACATGCTGTGTAGGTGGGGCTTTGGCCACAGTTCCCTTGTCTTCCCAAGTGCCAATATTCATGTTGTGTTTTATAGGCGGTGGTGGTACTGCGGCTCCACCTATTCCCACACTAGTCTTAGGCTTTAGTTTCGGCTGAGGCTTTGCGGGCTTCCTAGCAATAGCAGCCCATGATGTTGGTTTAGGTGCTGAATTATTTGTTGCTGGTATGTTATTTGCAACAATGCCACTGGAGATACCGGTACCACTAAGAGCAGAGCCCACTGTTTTAGTAACAGCTGTTGTCATATCTCCTCCAATTTTTAGTCCGGGCATACCTTGCTCAATGCTATTTATACCAGGCACCTTGCTCAAAGTATCATTGCCAAATCCAGCTTGTCCATCAGCTATCGCTCTACCAAGAGAACTGGGTGGGTAGCCATAGCTGCTGCTATATGCAGAACTTTGTGTTGACTGTCCCTGAGATCCACTTGCCCCCCAAGTAGAAAAGTCTGCATTTCCAGGAAAAAAATTAAATCCATGCTGATTCAAAAATGGTGGGGTGCTCCCCAAGGCCCCAGGTTGACTAAATACACCATCTGGTATAAAGTGATGCTCACCATTGCTCATTTGTCCATATGCAGTCAAGTATGGCATTGGAGGGTCACCCCCAGTTGACCAGGGGGCCTCACCAAGTGAATATGGAAATCCAATCGAAGGAGCATAGTAACTGGGCATATATGGGTCTGACATTGGTGGGTAGCTGTTATTCTGAAAGAGAAAAATAACATTATATTTTAATTTGAAACATTTAAATAAACAGCAAGACTGCAAGTTTTCATACATTTTGCAATAGTTCCTTCAAGTTATACGTAAAATAATCCTGCACTGCTGCTTCGTTATTTGGGATCAAGATCTTGAGGCTAGCCAGATCAATTTTACATTATTCCACTACAATTCAAATATCACCTAACCTATTAATCATATTAAAGGCAGGGAGTAATCTTTGAGAGGCGATATTTTAAGTTTCACGTGTTCAGTCCATCCTAAAATCTATACTAAATGTTGATTGCAGCTAATTTAGACTTCAAGCAACAATGAAATTTCAAAGTGTCCACATAATGGTGTAAATAAGGGTGGTCCAACCTTTTGACTGCCACAGGCCAGATTCCCTATTTGAGAAAGTTCCACGGGATGCCTAAACAATATTTTATGTTTCCCTTCCAGAAACATAACAACATTTACAAAGCACTTTTTAATTTTGGAAGGACTCAACAATGTCGGCTGGGCACCTGAACTGGGGGTGAGGGCTGAGAGATGGGGACGGGGAGGGAAAAGGTGACCAAAAGCGTTATAAAAAAGTTAGGTCTTGACGTGTCTTGAAAGAGGGGAGGGAGTCGGCGGGAATGGAACTCCAGAGAGCAGAGGGTAAAATGGCGATGGCAGGGCAGATGGGGTGGTGGGGGAGAAAGATGTGAAGTAAGCTGGTGTTTGCTCTGCAAAGGGAACGGCCAGGTTGGGAGGTCGCAGAGATAGGGTGAGGCGTATAGAAGTTTTTCACTGGTGAAAGGGGGAGCTTTCTTTGAGGAAACTGCACGGCACTCGGTGTCCGTCCTCACTCCTGACAGTGAACCAGGAAACCCTACCCTCACTTCACCTCTCTCTGATCTCTCTTTTCCCCTCTCCCTCATGCTCTCTCTGATCAATCACTCTGAATCTCCTCTCTCTTACACACTCTCTCAAACCCCCTCTCACACTCTCTCTTTCCCTCTCAATAACTCTCTCCCGATTCTCCTCCTTTCTCTCTCACAAACTCTCCCTCTCAATTACTCTCTCACTCCCGCTCTCCACACACACTCTCTCTATCCCCTCTCGCACTCTCTCCCCCTCTCTGTCACACTCTTTCTCTCAATCACTCCCTCTCTATCCCCCCTCTCTCAATCTCCCCATCTCTCTCCCTTCTCATTGACACTCACACATACTTTCTCCCGTTTCTCATCTCTCACTCTCGTCGCCCCTTTCTTACCTCTCTCTCACACTCCCGACTCTCACACACACTCCACCGTTTCAATCTCTCTCTGTGGGGGAGAGGGAAGTGATTGACAGAGAGGGGCTCTGTCAATCACTCTCTCTCCCCACCCCCCTCACACAGTATCTCTCTCTCTCGCTCTCTCTCATTCCCCCTTTCTAACATCTCTCAAACACACACCTCTGCCCCCTCCTCACTCTCTCCCAATCAGCTGTGCGATTCACTATCTGCAGTGCCGTTCTAAGGACACGGTTGATAAGAGACTCGCTTGGTTTCCTGAAAGACCACAACAACAGCCGACATTTTTAATCTCTGCGTCCTCCCAAACCCTGGCTCCTGCCGCTGCCATGGGAGGATGTTTATCAGGGAGGTAGAGAAAGTTGGAATGTTGGAAATGGTCTCAGGCTAGATAAAATCAACCTTCGGGCTGGATACGTTGGCGTGTTTGCCTCCGAATGGAAATGTAACATTTTCCAACAATCAGCAACTGCCCCAACTCGACACTGCACTAAACACCAATCCACTGAGCAAAGCGAGGAAGAGATCTTGCATTAAGAGTGCCAATACAGTCCTAGGTTTGGTAGTCAAGTACTTACTATGCAACAATTAATTACTTGTCAGACTGCAAACAATTAAATACATATTTTGAATTGTATACAATACAATTATAAAACACTATAACTCAAATGTAGTCCTGTGGTAAATTTCTGTGTATAGAACACCCTGATAGTTCTTTTGACCCTCTGCCAAAAGAGCATTGATACCTCTGAGGTTACCTTTGAGAAACCGAACAAGTGGTATGATTCTACTAATATACTAGAGAGCAACAAATAGCAGAACTTGAAACCCACACTTCAAATTTCTCTACCGAATTCCCCACAGGCTCAGAGTCTGTCATGTTAAAATTCAACTGATCCAGTCAGAACTCCGTACAAGGAATCTTAATAGGATGGCATCAATCAACTTTAAAACTGGTTTATTCGTTAATAACTTATTCATCGAGTCACTTGAATATTTGAGCTGAAACGTTTCAGGAATTATGCTAACCCGATCTAAATAAATCAACACATTAGAATTTTAAAGGAAAGTTTCAGTGCTTCTGCTCTGGGGCAAGCGCCCTCCCACCACCATTCACTGCTCTTCCATTTTTCTAATATGTGAAAGTTCCTAAAATCAAAGGTGGCTTTTTCAAGCACTCAAACTATCAAATGTTGACCTGCCCACATTTCTGGAAACGTCAGGCCAACCTTTCAATTTTGTGGCTGGAAATTAAAGCCTGTAAATATTTTAATGACAGATTCCAAAGGAGTGGAAAGTAGGTTTGAGAACTATTGATCCTAGAAGTGTCAAAAATGTATTACTAACCAGTTTTAAGATTTATCGAGCTATAAAAATAATATTATATGGGAAACTGACACCATTTAAAATTTACAACATAGGTCTAGTGGATTTGTTTTCTTGAATTCACTTCGCTCGAATCCCTCCACTCCTCTGCACTCCCCCTACCCTTCTGACTTCCTCAAAACAGTGCCCGTTGCCTTCGTTCCTCTGGGTCTGGCCTCCTCCTCGTCCCCCGAGTCCTCCGCTCCACCCTCGGCGGCCATGCCTTCAGCCACTATGCCCCGAGGCTCTGGAACTCCCTTCCTCACTTCCTTCGCCTCGCCCCCTCTCTTCCTATTTTCAGGTCTCTGCTGAAGACCTTTCTTTTCGACCGCGACTTTGGTCACCTTCCTCCCCTCCCCCTGGCTCGGCCCCGGGATCCGTTACTGTGAAGCACTCTGAGATGCCGTCTGGCGTGGATAGTGCTATATGAATCCAAGTAGTGGTTGTTGTTGCTGATTTATTAATTATTAAATGAATTCAGGAAATTAGGCGAAAATTCCAATATGCACAGGTATATTTAACTTGTTTTAATGTAACTGGAGGGTTTTTAATTCATTGCAAGCACAAGTCAATGCTTATATCTATTCAACACTAACTTGAGTACCATCAATTTTATTAAAAATGCAAGTTTGTGTACATGTGTATAAAATGAGGTAATACTTATCACGAAAAAAAAATCAGAAAAAGGTTTTGTGATTCTTCCTCCTAAAACTGCATATTTGATCAAGAATGTACCAACTGCTGGTCGCTTTACTTGACCAACTATACTCAACTAAAACTGTAGCTTTCATAATCAGGCAGAAAAAGTCCAAAGTCTACTCTTAAAAACAATACAATTTACAGCTATACAGTGATTTACCTTTGGATACAGCAACTTATACCATGATTAATTTAGGCAAAGAAAGGAAAATATATAATGGGTTGAATGGAGTGTCTTCTGTGCTATCGCCTTACTTTTTGGTGGACCGTGTTGCCAGGGAATTATGAAAGCAATATGTGGGCACATAGCTATGCAGGTAAAATACATTTTGAGGAGTTTTTAAAAATTATACCTGGCCTTCTTCAATATGACAAGCAGTTCTGGTCTCCCCATTTCAAAAATTATACCTTGTTGTAAGAGAAACTGCAATGGAGGACTACAGCAAAACTATGGGGAATAGCAATACAAGGAAGGATCAGCTACCCAAGAACTCACTTGAAAGGACTTGGTGTCTAAAATCATCAAGAATTCAGAAAATTTGACTGCAAATAAGTCACTCCATTTTGAAAATTCAAGAATAAGAAATCAAACACAAGTTTAAAAAAGGGGGGGGAAAAGAGAATTTCTATTCATAAAATAACGAGACCCATGTGGAACAAATTACCACAAATTAGCAGGGATCAAATATGGAGCTTTTATTTGGTCAGCCAGGTGTCCAACACATGCTTAGGAGTGACTGAGCACTGATTTCTATATAGATATGCCACTCATACGTGTATGGAACAAAGAGCTATAAAGGGTTTCAACAAGAAACAACATAAATATAAATTAAAAGAAATTAACATTAAAATAATTCAGGACTATTAGATGTCAACTGAATCTTTGGGGAAACTGGATGGTTAAGCAAGATAAAATAATATTCATTACATTTTAGCATAGCTTCTTTTAAATTGGAAGGACATCTCAAGGCGTTCACAGGACATACTTAAAATGGAGTGACTGAATTTTGGGGGTGACAGCCAATTTGTGCACATAAGGACTGCAACAGAGGTGGACCAATTTCCTAATAGAAATTACGATAACATCAGCCCAGATTAAATTCTTGCACTGTCAATGTTGCATATTGGCTTTTACCCACTTTGCCTTTTGGATAAGTTTATATAAAGTTAGCCTTTTTATTACTTAGAGTGGGTTCCTTAATGATCACAACAGGTGAATCTTAGTGCCGCCAAAAGAAGCAAAAAACTTACAGCAATTATTTGCAACCATTAGCAATTCAGATTGATTTGGACTTAAGAAAGAATACCATTACTTTCATAAATTGATTGCAAAACCTGCAAAGATCGTTTATGTTTTTTTGGTACTTATAAAGAGCTATAAATTCAAGGGAGCTTCTTTATTGTAATCGGTCACCCTTTCTATTAACTTTTTTTTAAAAAAGTGTATAAAAGTTTAAACCTGTATTGCAGATCCAGACAATCTAACCATGCAAGAAAGCAGGTGTATATGTTCACAGCAGCTAGCTTAATTGTTCTGGGCACATGATCGTGTTTTCGGCAATTATATTTCTGTACTCGCTTGCTTAGCTGGACAGGTTGATTGGATCTATAATGTACTAGATGAAGATTTCCAGTTGAGGTGCTGTTTTGCACAAAAACAGGATTTGTATGGTATACAGCACCAAATAAAATATAGGTTTGTTATGGAAATATGAACAGAATTAGACAAGTACTTTACAAATAATTACTGTTCCCTCATTAGCGTTTACTTTCCTGAAACAAAAAAAGTTAATCCTTATTTATTTTCAAGGAGTTTCTGAAGGACACTTATGGTTTTACTGTACAAAAGGCTCAGTGGCAATTGGAATTTTTAGTACAAGTCACTAAATTAGCAAAATCTACATTGCACTAATCTTAACACAAATTGTTGATCATAGAGTACTCGAAAACCTTACACCAATTATTTGTGAAGCGCTTTCAGATGCTAATGTTATAGCTATTATATCAAATGCAAAGATTTTTTATTACTAAAATACCATCTAAATAACAGCAAAACAAAGCTGGTTTGTTTGCCTCTCACAAACAACAAAAATACAAGGAAATTGCAGTGGTTCACTTCTGAACTGTTTTTAGTGGTTACTTATGCTACAGCTAGTACAGAGCAGAAATGGTGTGAGATCATCTCTTTGATATGTCACACTACTTCCATTAAGCAGCATTAAATCAGTTACAGTCATTCCTTATAATAATATATAACATTTCATGAACCCCAAATTATGTCCTATGGCAGGACATCCTGTAAATTGCTGAGTATGTAAAAGTTTGGCACAAAAGTATACTCCAAAAGCTGACGGTTTGCACAATTGACCTGAGCTCAAAGAGAGCAGGTCAACATATATTTTAATTATTTATATATTTTACACAAACTGTTCTGAAATACGAAACAGACCTTGCAGGAAAGATAGTGGATAGTGCTGTTCCATAGGAAATTGAATAGAATTTTGGAAAGGGAATTGAGGGCATAAGATTGTACACTTTGCAAATTTGGGGAATGCCCAGGTGGACCATAATTGTCTTTACCATAGTCTGTTTTGTCTGCCAAAACAAGCTACTGTATGTGCACGCACACTCCTCATAAACAACAACAACAACAAAATTACACTTATAGAGCGCCTTTCACATCGGGAGAACATCCCAAAGCGCTGAACAGTCAGGTGTCAGGGCCCGAGCATAGGGGAGAGTTGGTGTAGGGGTGAGGGAAGACACAGAGGTGGGAGGGAGACCAATGGCACGGTCGAAAAGAAGGGTCTTGAGACCGGCCTTGAAGGAGACAAGGGAGGAAGCGAGGCGAAGGGACCTTGGAATGGAGTTCCAGAGTGTGGGGGCAGAGAGGCTAAAAGCACAGCCACAGATGGTAGGCAGGAGACATGGAGCAGGCCGGAGCCCGATGAATGGAGGGAGTGGGCAGTTTGGTAGGGACTTAGCAGGTCAGAGAGGTAGGAGGGGGCAAGGCCATGGATGGCCTTAAAGATGATGACGAGGATCTTGAACTCGATCCTCTGGGGGATGGGGAGCCAGTGAAGTCGGGTGAGGGTGGGAGTGATGGGGTCACGGAGCCTGGGGCATGAGAGTACACGAGCTGCAGAGTTTTGGCTGATCTGCAGCTTGTGAAAGGAAGAGTTGGGAAGGCCGATGAGGAGGGAGTTCCCGTAATCAAGCCTCAAGGTGACGAATGCGTGGGTGAGGATTTCGGTAGCCTGAGGGGTGAGGCAGTGGCGGAGTCTGGCAATATTGCGGAGGTGGTGGTAGGCAGTGCCGGTCATGACGCGGATGTGGGGGAGAAAGGACAGTTCAGGGTCAAACAAGACACCCAGACAAACTGTCTAGTAGTACACATTAGTCACATCTGCAATTTTTGCACTAGTTTGATGGACCAGACCACTATATTTTAACATGATTGCCCTGTACACTGCTACTGCACACAGCACTGCTGGAGGAGGCACCATAAAATCATGTCTGGTAGCAGCTCATTTGCATCACCAGTTTGCCATGGATGGTAGAGATAGTGATGGTAGGAAAGCAGCAAATTAACTGCAGGATCAGATATTCTTGGCACAGAATTCAGTCCTCATTTTCTACTTCTCTTCTTCCTCCTCTCTCCTCCACCCTGCCTGAAAAATGCATATTCTAAAACTCACACAAGTACAATTGTTTCAAAGTCACGAATTGAATCTATCTACTGGTTTTATTCCCTCCTCCTCTATCTGTCCCCGAATTCAAATCAATTGGCTACTCATTTCTTTGGTTTATGGGACATTGCTGGCTGCATTTGCCTATAAACTAACGTTCAGTAATTTCTCATTAATTTTATTTTGTAAAGTGGTTCAGGATGTTTATTTTACATGAAAAGCACAATGTAAGTTATTATATTCCAGCTGCTAAAAGATCCTTACATGCCAGCAGTACAAATAATCCAAATAACCAATTTCTGAGGTAAACAATGGGTAGTTGTTTGCTTAAAAATAAACCTTTAAAATAGATGCAGTTTATCACAAAATAAAGAAAGACTTAATTCTGATTAATATTGGCAATGTATAGCAAGGAAGGTTGTTCCTGACAAAATCCAAAGTCGTCTGTTCTATACAAAAAGCAGGGTGAACCCATTATAATGAATGTGTTATTTGGGATCCATAAAATCTCAACCTGCACTGTATAGTGAGCCACTACAGCGGGGGTTCACTGTACATGCACGCAATTGACAAATTCCGACAGGGGAAAAAAATTGGGAGACTCCTAGGTTACCCAATGTCACGCTCATTTTCCGTGATAAGATAAAATCAACAACCTGACAACTATTTGTCACACAGGAAGCTGAAGTGTCAGACCTCCAGGCCATTGGGTCTCTAGGAGTGTCACATCCTGCTTTGCTGCACATATGAAGTGACATCGACAGCAGCCTAATAAACCGAGTCTGCCATTTTAGTGCAAATTGCACATTCGTAATAAACAACTGCAAGGGTGTTAAGTGAATTTGTGCTATAGTAAAGCCCATTATAACAAGCTGCACTATAGATTTATGGTCTCGTTTTGAAGATTGATAAAATAATAATCCTTACATATGACCTGAATGTCAAAAAGTCTCAAAGTACTTCAAGAGTTTTCTGTAAAGTGTACTGAGTTATTTAATTTTATGGCCCAAAACAGCCATAATAAAACCATCTTTCATGTCAGGACATTTCTTTGTAGGATATACTGTAAATTTCTCCTACACCTACCCTCCCCACTCTCCACCGCTCCTGATCCCAAACACTAGCTCGGGTGCGGATCCCTGACTGTCTAGCACCTCGGGACAACCTCCTAATGTGAAAGGTGCGAAACAAATGCAATTTGTTGTTGTATGTTTTGTAGCCAATTTCCCCACAGCAATGTTCCACAAAAAGCTATGAAGTGAGTGACCAATTTTATTTTTAGGGATTGTTGGCTGGGAAAATGGGGAAAATCTCACTTGTTTTCGAATAGTATCATGCGATCTTTAACGTCCACCTGAACAAGCAGACAGGGCTTCGTCTTAACATCTTTCGTTAAGGAAAAGGAATGAATGGATTTTTTGAAAAAAAATCTGTGAGACTATTGGCTAGGACACTGGCAGAAACTCCATACTCTTTTCAAAGAGTAATGAGGAAATTTCTGAACAGGAAGACAGGGAAGCAGCATTTAAAAAAAAATTGCACATACATTTTCAGTTTTCATTGATAGAATTGTTTGAAGATTAAATTACTTTATTCCCCAAGGCCCTACTGGCTTAAGCTTCCTGCTTCCATAATACTATTTAACAGACTGCAAGGTTCCAACTTTAATTAGTTGTCTTGAGTTAGCAATTGCAACAATACAATTGGCCTTAACATCACTTGGATACAGGGCGGAAAGCGAAAGAAAAATCACCAACGATCCTCTCAAAAGATCGTAGCTGGAATTATGTATGTCAATATAAACATGAAAAAAAAATAAGCTAAGCTGTAAAGCCCTTCATTGGTCAAATAGACTTCCATCACTCACCTTCTAGGATCACAAATGAAAATTAATTTTCTACTTTTCTTGGTATAGGTATTTGTCAGCTTTTCAAATTGAGGAAAATGAATTCCCATCATTCATTTAATTTTGCTTATTTTATTGTCTTGAACTCAAAATAGCAAACTTTCGCGATAGCCATTGACGTCATACCTAGAAGGCGACATCGCAAAATAAAAGTCAGCTATTTTTGTAATCAAAGGGATTGCTAAACCCGCCACCAAAAAAACAAAAGGGTAAAACCGTTTTTTTTAATAAAAGGCCGAAAATCAGCAACCCTAAAAATAATAATGTGGGTGAAGTGGGGGGAAGGTGGTAATGATAGAAAATTGGCAAAAACAGGTGGACGTGACTTACCTGATTTGTCTGACTGCTTAGATAAGGTTCAAAATCGTCATCATTCACTGCGTCCTTCTGATGCATCGAACCGTTTTGAACTGTAATTAAAAACCACAATCAGAGAACATTCCCAAAAACAATGCAATCACATTTAAAAATCTTCAAACTTCCTTTTGGGATAGTAAGGGAAGAGAGAGATATGAGAACCTACAGTTTTTTAAGAGCCTAAAATGTCTCAAAGCAGTTCAGAAATTGTAATATGCAACAACTTCTCTTTACTCAAAAGCGGCATAAATGAGGACAGATGTCTCACATGATACAAGTATTTATGAACAATGTACAAGAACAGATCAATGCATACTCGTAATAAATCAAATCTCCAGGTAGTGAGCCCAAGTGCCTCGACAGGACTCAGAATGACACTCACCGTTCTAACATATCAAACCAAAAGCCAATCAGATAGAAAGGAATACCTGGTAAATTCCAAGCCAGTAATCTAATCAAACTATAGAATCATAAACCACACAAATAAAATGAACATAGTAATCTCTGAACATGAGCCCACGCAAAAAGATTAACAGTGTCAATAAATCATTCTTGATATTTACAATATACTGTATGCATGCAACACATACACATGGTTTCAATTCCATGAGGTGATGGGGGAGCGGGGCATTTTGTCCTGTCAAATATTGTGAAGCATTTTGACATTACTTACATGGAGTTCTTTGAGGCATGATAATCAAGGATTGATGATATTACCAACGTTTACGAGAAATATGTAATTGATGACCACAAAATTCTAGGTTCAGTCCAAATAAATTTGCATTAAAAAATTATGAGTCTCTCCAGTAGAGGATTACATCCCAGCTGTAAATTGTTGCTGTAACAGGTGAAGTCATTGGACAGAACTTTGGCTGAATTTACCTAAGATATCACTCTACAGTCAACTAGCCAAATATGAGGCAAACAATAGAAATAATTTTCCATACTAGAACGCTTTGTTTTACTGTCTAAGGTTGTAAAATTAGAAACATATGGATAATACAGAATGAAAATTTGACTCCATGCTGCAGAACAGCTAAAAAAAAACTTTGTGTTTTGCATCAAGAAATGCTCAACCATTTGAGCTTCAAAACACTGGTCAATAAACAACAGTCTACAAACAGGGCTGAGTAAATGAGTACAGTACAAACAATGCAAACTAGCTAAATGCATTCTTACACTCTTACTACGAAGCAAAAACACAGATAAGCAAAACTATTTTCTTATGGTATCACTGAATAGAACAAAATATGCAACTCCAGAATTACGATTAGACCTGTTAAATCTTAAAGCCAAATTATTCCCGCTGTATTTTAAGTTACAAGTTAGGTGTTGATGAAAAGGTAAATCTCTGAGAACATGGACAGCAGTAGCCATGACTGGAAATGTGCAATCCAATATGCTTCAGCTGGAAACAGGAGAGGCAAGATGACATAAAGATTACCCCCAAAATATTTTCCCTGATACATTGCTAATTCCAATTGCACTACAATATAAATAAATATCTTCTAGCAATTTAGATTACTGACATTGTTGTTAACCCTCTGAGTCAGAGCAAAAGAGTCCACCTTTAACCGGTCAAATGAAAATGATTTGACAATTCCTTCCATTTAAGAAGCAAGAGTCAGAAATCACAAGTTATCATAACACAAGCGACAAGATTAAACACTGTTGATGCAATTCATGCCGACGTTTGTCAACAAATGTTTTGCCAAACATTTTTCACGAACAAGGCCACATATTTGACAAGAGTAACGAAGACAAGCCAGTGTAAGTGAAATCTGCCCAAGTAGGTAAACTGAGACGAGTCGTTTTAGCTTGAGATCAAACCATACAACTTCAGGCTGTTCACCTTCTCGCATTTCAAATGATGTGAAAAATCGATATAAATCAATACATCCGTATTATCCAATAAAGATCAAATACCCCCCCCCCTCCCCCCACCCACCCCCCGAAAAAACCCTTAGATAATACATCAAAAAATAATTAAATCAAGGAAGTCAAGAAATTCAGACCCTCTCAATTCTCAGTAAATTCAGATTGGGCAGTACACCCATCTGTAGGAAACTGAACAGAATGAGTAAGGTACCAACTCACCTTTACTCCCCTGTCCTTTCGGTCTCTGTTGGTAGTATCGTGTTTAAAAACAAGAAGAGAAAAAAAAAGGGAGGAGGGAGGGAGGGGGTGGGGGGGGGGAGTACCAAAAAAAATACACAAAAAAAACCAGAAGAAAACACCCGTCGGTCAGTCGGCACCGCGTGGAATTCGGCGTCGGCCGTTAACGGGTTTTAAATCAATTTCGGCGAATCGAAAAAAAATCTGATTCACGCGTTAACAAAAAGCCACAGGAAATATCTACGAGACGGAGAGAGAGAGAGACAGAGAGAGAGAGAGAGAGAGAGAGAAAAAAAGGGAGGGAGGGAGGGAGAGAGGGAGGAGAGCGCGCCAGTCGCGGCCCTGTGAGGCGCCTGGTGCCCCGGCCCCAGCGGCGGCCTCAGGCCTCAGCCCGAGTCCCCCGGCCTGGCCCCGGCCCCGAGCCCCGGCTCTCCGGCCTCCCTCCCCCTCCCCCCCGGGTCTGCACGCCGCTCATTGACCATTACCTGATCCACGCTGGTAGCGGACATTCTTCATTAAAGAGACGGGCTCGAGCGCTCTCTCTCTCTCTCGGTCTCCGTGTGTGTGTGTGTGTGTCTCTGTCTCTCTCTCTCTCACCGCCTTTTTCTCAGCTTGAACCCTGGCGGCGGCGGCCCGAGTGACGGTCACTTCCCAGGAGGCGGCGGCGCTGCGTCTGTCGGTACTAGTTCCCGGGCTCCGCTCGCCGTTGCTCGGTCACCTCGGTTCAGCTCGATGCCCCCCTCCCGCCGGCTCGGCCTCTCAGCTACGTGTCGGTTGCTCCGCCGGCTCTCGCACCCGCGCACACAATGGCGGACGGCTCCAGCACTCACTTCCGCTCGCAGTCGCTGACCTTCCGTTCCGCGACGTCAGTGCGTGAAGGACAAGCCCCGCGCGGGGAGCCGGTCCTGCCACCTGCCACCTGCGGGGGGCGCTGTCACTCCCTGGGCTCCACTGTACCACCTGTTCCCCACTCCTCAACAGCGCCATCTGGAGGGACCGCAGAGCTGCACATCCACCTCTCTATAATCGTGATAATAATCCTTGGACGTGATGCAGTGCCTTATCCGTGTCATTGAGACGTCTCAAAGCGCTTCACAGAATATACCGTAAAGTGAATTGACTGTATCTTTTGTGGGCGAAACGCGGCGGCCGATTGGGCACAGATGTGTCCCACAAACAGTCGTGGATTGAGGCACCAAACTTATTTTTTCGAAGGAATTATTGCTCCCGGAAAAGCGATCCACCAATCGAGTCACAACCGGGTTCCTACTTACTGTTGGGTAAACAGAGCCGTGTGGAGTAAGGAAACTTGCCCAACTGGGAATTACCCGGCCGGGAATCGAACCCAGGTCTCTCGCGGCAAAGTGTGTGCTCTAACCACTGAGCTACAGCTATAGAAGGCGTACACCATCTATCAAAATATATAATAATAATAATAATAAATTGGTCACTGCTGTGCGCAATTGGCTACCGCGTTTCACCCACAAAATATACAGTCTATTCACTTTACAGTGAAGTGCTTTGAGACGTCCTGAAGTCGTGAAAAGGCGCTGTTATCAAATGCAAGGATTATTATTATTATTATTATCTACAGAGGGCACAGAGCGCCACAGCCCCCATCTATAGAGACCACAGAGCTACACACACACACATCAATATAAATACAAGTTGTTGTTGTTGACAGACTGAGGAGATTTTTGAATAAGGCAGAAACCCAATTCACCATAATGGCCAGTTTCAAGAAAGACTATATACAGGTAAGAAATATTATAATCAAAAATGATAAATTATCATGTGCATTCTAAAAGGGTTCTTTCTGCTGGATACTACCACTAATGCAAAATTCAACAACAACAACTTGAATTTATATAGCCCCCTTCATACCGGACGGCATCTCTGCGCTCTTAAATCAACAAAAAGTGCTGTGTAATTTAAAGGAAATAAAGACTACCTGAGGTTCAGATTCAGATTGTGGGTCCTGTAGCTCAGTGGTTAGAGCACTCGCTTCGCAAGCGAGACACCTGGGTTCAATTCCAGACAGGGCGAAACCTTAGGCAAGTTTCCTTACTCCACACGCCTAATAATAATCCCTCCAAAACAAAACAATAATAAATTGGTCATTTTTAATCCACGACACTTTGCGGACACTGCTGTGTACAATTGGCTGCCACGTTCGCCCACAAATATACGGTCAATTCACTTTACAGCATATTCTGTGATACTTTGAGATGTCTAGAAGATGTGATGAGCGTTATATAAATAATGCAAAGAATTATTGTTAGATTACCTGAGGTTTGGATTCAGATTACAGGTCTGTACCTGCCCTGTTAGTGTGTATAAAAGTCTTTCCATTTCATCACTGTTTTCAACCTTTTGAAGCTGTATGTCACTATCTTAGGTGGTGTGGCTTCTCAATATGTTCTAAGGTTTTCAGAAGGAAATGTGTTTCTTTAATTATAATTTATTTGCGTTTTTTTAAATCTGTATTTAATGGCTGTGGGTTGATGTGGTTGTGTTCATGAAAATTAGCCAAAGTTTCTAAACCAAACATAAAAATAATTGAACTCTCCACAATTTATGATGCTGGCAGTACTGGAGAAGCTTGTTGGATTAATGGCTGTACTTCTCTGATAAGTGTGTCTGTTTTAGAATTTGTTTTAGTGTTTATTGTTCTTGCTCAGTTTGTTGCTGAACTCAAGATAGGGCGAATTTGGCCAGGGACCTAATACCTCATTCAGGGACTGTTCCCAGAAATCGGGACATATGGTGACTCCACCTAAGATGAATAACAAGTATCTTGTGAAATCCAATTTCCCTGTGTAGGAAGTTACAAATACAATATGATTGGGAAAGAGATATTTTGGCTTGCGTATATTTAGCCTATTACATAGGCTATGTCTAAATCGTCAAGCCATCAATTTTACTGTAAGAGTTTTGTTAGAATGTGACGTAATGGTAATATTGCAACATAGAAGTGTGATGGAAAGTTAGGGTAATGACAATTACATTTCTGGCTAAACAGTTGTGAATTGTATAAACTGGCTAAGACAGAATGGAAATTATCCTGGATTGCCTAATTGTAGATTAAACAGGTATTCATTGAGGCTTGTTAATAAATAATAAATTCGTTGATAATCTTGGCCAAGATCTGACAACATAGAATATCAGAGTTTACAACTGCAAAACTGCAAACTCATTCAAGTTCGTATGATGAACCCATAGAGTTTCCTCATTGGGGATTTTTGCAGTAGTTTAAATTGTGCCCTAGATGTAATCTCAGGACTTCCTGGAATCTTGAAAACTCTAGAATATCTTGTGCTTTGTGCATTTGACATCTATATTGATTTGTTTTATTTTGATGGCGAGAACCATTTAGCAAACACAAACTAAGCTAAAAGCGACTGTTTTCTATTTAATATAGATCATTTAAAAATGTAAAACATTTTCTTTGTTCAAAAACACTGGTCTTTTGGATTTTACCATCAAGCACTGATGGTGCAGAATTTCAACACTAGCTTTATTTTAAAGTGGTTCTGTTTTCTGTAATTAAATTCCAAAAATGTTTTGAAAAATGCTTTCCATTATTTGCCAAACACAATAATATTAATTCTTACATTTGATATAGCGTCTTTCGGGAGGACTTCTCAAAGTGCTTCACAGAATATAATGCAAAGTGGAGTGTATGTGTATGTCGTGGGCAAAGGCAGCAGCTAATTTGCATTCAGCATTATTCCACAAACAGCCGTGGAATGAGAGACCAATTTTATTTGGGGGATTGTTGGTCTGGACACCGGGAGACATGTGTGATTTATGTAAAAAGTATGAATTGTATAAAGAAATTGCATTATTGCAATTGCAAAAATAAATAATTTGCTTCTGCTTGATGCTGTTCCAATGCAAATAATCCATGACTCTTCTGCTGGTTCTTCTTCCTTGATGACAAAGTCTGCCATTGATGTCAATTATTTGAGTATACACTACACAACTTGTGCAATAGACCAATAGACTGCCTTCCCAACTCTTCCCTCCGCAAGCTGCAGATCATCCAGAACTCTGAAACTCATGTCCTCTCCCGCACCAGGCTCCGTGACCCCATCACCCTCAGCCGGCTCCACTGGCTCCCCATCTCTCAGAGGATACAGTTCAAAATCCTCGTCCTCACTTTCAAGGCCCTCTATGGCCTTGCCCCTTCCTACCTCTGTGAGTTACTAATCCCTTATCAATCTGTCCACTCCCTCCGCTCAGCAGGCTTCGGCCTGTTCCACGTCGCCCGGCCGGCCCATCCCACCATCGGTGGATGGGCCTTCAGCCTCTCTGCCCACATGCTTTGAAACTCCATCCCACATTCCCTTCACCTCGCTCCCTCCCTTGCCTCCTTCAAGGCGCGTCTCAAAACCTTCCTCTTTGACCATGCCTTCGGCCACCCTCCTACCCTCCCTGACCTCCACCCTCTCTTATCCTAACCCCCTTCCTGCCTTGGGACGTCCTCCCAATGCGAAAGGTGCTCCACAAATGTAATTTTGTATTCTATTAAAAATTATTAACAGCAATTTGAATTTATATAGTGCTCTTCATGCTGGTAGTGTCTCAAGCACTACCAGTGTGAAGGGCATTATATATTGTTTGATGCCGATCTGGAAAATGAGGGGAGGTGACTGAATCACAATCGAAGAAGAATGTCTTCAGGCGTGATGTGACAACTGGCAAAGAAGGAGCATGACAGGAGGGATTGAGGCAGGGGTTGGGGCATAGTGGTAGAAAGCACAGCCACTATGGTGGAGTAGAGGGGATAAGGAATGTGCAAAAGATCCAAGCCAGCTGAGCGAAAGCAGTGGGTAGTGGAGTGGGGTGTGAGCACATTGGAGAGATAGATGTACGAAGGCATGAAGTGATTTAACATCGATCCATTCTGCTACAGAAAGTAAGTGGAGCCTGGCAAGAACCAGGGCAATAGACGTATGGAGCCTGGTATGCGTGAGGACATGGGTATTATTAGTAGTAGTAAAAGATTAATATTAATATTAATTTGTACATTTCATATCAGGACAATGTCTCAAAATCCTTCAAAGGATTTAAATGACCATTTTGCACGGTCGCATTGATGGGACTGGAGGGAACTAAGGTTTGTCTCTTGTTTCAAGATTGAGAAAAAAAATGGGAAAAAGGATGTTATGAACCTGATGCAATTTTATTAATATAAAGTGATGACCAGCAGCAGCACATCAAGATTATTGTTAAACATGCAGTAACATTACACTAGGCAAGACTAGGTAAGACAAACCAACCATTCAGTTAATTATTGATATACCTGTTCACTCAAACGAGTTATAACACACAGTACTGATGGAAAGTAAAATCATACACGTGTAAAATAATTGCAAAAAATTGTACTTGAGACATGCAAGAAAGAGAAGGGAACAGAAAAGCACAGAAGAGGGGAATAGGAGGCAAGGTGAGGGCTTGTGTGGAGTCTAAACACCGGCACAAATTATTAGTTGGGCCAAACAGACTGCTTCCATGCTATATCACTATGTAACTCTGTTGGTGCTGACCTGAGAATCATCCCTTCAGCATTAACAACAACAATAACAAAATTACATTGGTATAACATCTTTCACATTAGGGGTCGTCCCAAGGTTTAATTTATAAATTCAATTCATATAAGTTAGTGTCAACTGACTCTTTATGTTTGTGCACTTGTGCTCAAGTGAAAGTTAATACTCTGAGATTACAATTCCGTACAAATTCCCCAAAATCCACAATTAGAGTTTCAACAACATACATTTATTATATGCCATTTCCCTTTGAGCTTCACAACTAATAAAATGCACACATTTACGTATCGTTCTGAGCTTTAGTAACGACCGAGCAGTACTGCTGTGCGCAATTGGCTGCCATGTTTCGCCCACAAAATATACAGTCAATCACTTTACAGTATATTCTGTGAAGCGCTTTGAGACGTCTAGAAGAAGTAAAAAGCGCTATATCAAATGCAAGGATTATTATTGTATTATTAAAAATTGTGCTCTCTCTTTCAGATCCTGATAAGCCTGACATATATTTCCAACATTTTCTGTTTCCACTAAATAATTGGCATTGTTATTTATGATAATAATAATTACATCCTTGATTTGATAGAGCACTTTTCACAAGTGGAGTCCTGTAGCTCAGTGGTTAGACCACTCGCTTTGCAAGCGAGAGACCTGAGTTCAATTCCAGGCAGAGGGTGAAAACTTGGGCAAGTTTCCACACGCCTAATAATAATAATATAATAATCCCTCCAAAACCCAAAACAATAATAAATTGATCATTTTCAATCTACGACTGTTTGTGGGACATTGCTGTGCGCAATTGGCTGCCGCGTTCGTCCACAAATATACAGTCAATTCACTTTACAGTGTGTTCTGTGAAGCGCTTTGGGACGTCCTCCCGACGTGAAAAGCGCTATATCAAATGCAAGGATTATTATTATTATTATGTGGCATATGCCCTTTTCACCGCTGCCCTCTTCATCTTTCTCACCCCTGCCCTCTTCAGCTCTCCCCCGCCCCTTCTCCCAGCCCCTCCTCCACCCACTTCAGGTACCCAGCCAACTTCCGACATGAAAAGCTCCACATAAAATTATTGAGATGCCCTCCTGAGGTGAAAGGTGCTATATAAAGTTATATTGTATTGTCTCAAAGCGCTTCAAAGGATTTACTATAAAGTGTGGTGACTGTGTCTTTTTCAGGCATGTTGCAGCCAACTTGCACACAAAAGTGTCCATAAACAGCCATGAAGTGAATGACAAATTTAATTGGTCATTCATGGTCAGGCCACCAGCAGAAATTCCCTTCTCTTTTTGAGTATTGCCATGTGATCTTTAATGTCCACCTGAATAGGCAGATGGGTCCTGGGTTTAATGACTTATCCTAAGGACAGTACGTCCAACAATGTAGTACATCCGTAGCACTGCACTGGAGTGTCAGCCTTGAGTAAATTAATGAAAAGCCCCTACGTGGGGTAACCGTATGACTCGCACAAGAGAGTGCTACTTGCTGAGACTGGCTGACACCACTATTTTCTCAATGTAACATATCTTAAGGGCTAATAACAACAACTAACAACAACAATAATGAAGAAAACGCTTACAGTGCATTTGTCACATGTTATCAGTTTGTTTCACCGTTAGTTACTTATTGCTGAAATTTGATACAGAGAGGTTTGAGCCAAACGTTATACTGACATTAACTGGCCTTGAAATTTTATGATTTGATGCCAGTTTTAAATGAAAAAACACTGGAATAAAAGACCTGCTTTGCAGTATAGCTGTTTGTTTTCCATCTCCTGGAGCCTGTTTTTGACTCTGAGCATTTGAATCCTCAATGAACTAGGCAGGCTTGTGAGCACGTCTTATTTTTTTCTGACCAATACCGAGCAGAGAAGCATCTCCTCAGTTTTCATTTATAGGCTACAAGGTTCAGCTCTGTATCACAAGACAATACAGCAAATTTAAGAAGTATCTTGTAATAAAATAATGGTAATAATAATGCTTGCATTTGATATAGCGCCTCATCAACAACAACAAAAACAAGATTCCATTTATAGAGCACCTTTCACGTCAGGAGGACGTCCCAAGACATCATCACATCTTCAAGACATCTGAAAGAGCTTAACATAACATATTGTAAAGTGAATTGACTGTATATTTTTGTGGGCAAAATGCGGCAGCCAATTGTGTACAGTAGTGTCCCACAAACAGTTGTGGATTGACCAAATTATTATAATTTAAAAAAATGTTTTTGAAGGGATTACAATCCTGGAAAAGCGATCCATCAATCAACTAACAACTGGGTAATAATTGTATAATGTTAATAATAATGCTTGCATTTGATATAGTTGTTGAACATCTCAAAGTGCTTCACAGAATTTAGTGCAAAGTGTATAGATTGTGGATTTAGAGATAAATGCAGCCAATTTGTACACAAACAGTCAATCTGGGGATTTGTTGGATAGGACACTCGAGAAACTCCCATCTCTTTTCAAATAGTGCCATGAGATCTTTAACATCCAACTGAATAGACAGATGGGACCTCAGTTTAATGTCTCATCCAAAGGCTGGCACCTCTGTGGCACTACCCCAACACTGGAGACAGGAGTGCCAGTCTAGAGTATGACCTCAAAGTCTTGACATGGGGCTGAACCCCATCAACTGAGCCAGGCTGAAACTTTATGCCCAGGCAGACAGTGGAAGAATACCACGAGGGGTTAAATTATACCTCAGCCTCTTCTGACCAGAAATACTAATGCTAATTCTTGTTCACACATACTATTATCTGAGAAATTCCTGCAGATACTTCACAAAGAATGCCACAGACATATCACGGTTACAGCAGGATCTCAAGATACTAAAAACACTTCTAACTTGCCTTTCTTGGTGTTAAGTTAGTACAGCATTATATAGCCTTGTGTTACAAGCCAGTTGATGTGTTCTTTCCAAATGGATGCCCAACAAGGCTCAAAGTGGAGACCTGTAGCTCAGTGGTTAGAGCATTCGCCTCGCAAGCGAGAGGCCCGGGTTCGATACCGGGCCGGGCAAAACCTGGGGCAAGTTTCCTTACTCCACACGCCTGATAATAATCCCTCAAGAGAAAAAAAACAAAATATACAGTCAATTCACTTTACAGTCTATTCCGTGAAGCGCTTTGAGACGTCGAGAAGACGCGAAAAGCGCCGTCTCAAATGCAAGGATTATTATTGTTATTATTATTATTATATCAAATGCAAGGATTATCCTTAGCAGCAGTATTATTATTATTACAACCCCCCCCCCACCCCGAGATGTATAAAAGTGAAAAGTGCTGCTTTTGGTGTCCCACTCCGCCTACACTGCGGGAAAGCTCAGGCGTCACCCGCAGTGAGTGAGGTGCGGGGCTGTGACTTCCTGCCCCCACCCCTCCCTCCCTCCCCCCCTCCCTCCCTCTCTCTCTCTCTCTTTCGCACTGACTAAAGTTTCGAGTCAAAGTTGCAGAGGAAAGAAAGAAAGAGAGAGAGAGTGAGAGAGAGAGAGAGAGTGAGTGAGAACCCATTCATTCCGGGAGGGACTCGGGTCTGAGCGCAGGTAACGTTACAACATGTCCCGACAGAGCGACCCCGCGGCGGCGGTGGGTCTCCGAGAGGATGAGCTTTGCCCGGAATCTGAGCTGCTCTCCGTTTCTGAGCTGCGGCTCCGAGCAGTGAGTCTGAGCCAACACTGGCCGCTGGGTTTGGAGGATGAGTTTCTCATCAGGTTCCTGAGAGCCAGGGATTTCCACCAGGAGTTGGCACTGAAGGTAAAGGAGTCAATGCAGGTGGAAGGGGGTGGGGGTGGGGGGGGGGGGGAGAGAGTGAGAGGGAGGGAGGGAGGGAGGGAGAGAGAGGATGGAAAGGGATGGGATGTACAAGAGAGAAGGACTTGAGGGAGGAGATGGAGGGGCCAAGTGGGGGAGGGATGCAAAAAAAAAAAAATGTTGTCAGGGAAAGTCAGAGGTAGGAAGGGAATAGGAATGAATGTGGGGAAAGAGCCCACACAGGGAGGGGAGGGGGAGGGGAGGGGAGGGGGAGGGAAAGCAGTTGGAGAGAAAGCAAAAGAGAAAGGGTGAGAAGATCAAAGCATTTTTTTTTGCCATTGTATTGCTGTGTGCAAATTTCCTGTCACATTCGCCTTTCCTCTTTACAGTAAATCATGTGAAGTCTTTTGATATGTTTGAACAGCATAGTAGAGCACTATACCAAATGCAAGGATTGTTATTATTATGAATTAGTCCATAAGCATTACTCTCTGCAGTAGCACTACTCAGTAAACGTGACACTGTTGGCTCCAAGATCTTAAATTGGTTGTAAACCCCTGCACCCTCACACCTCCCACCTGTCCAATTTGCCTACCCCCCATTCCACCACCAGCTGCCTCCGCTCGGCCGTCTCTGACCTCACGTTTGTCCCTTGTCCCCTCCGCTCCAACATCGGTGGCCGTGCCTTCAGCCACTAAGCCCCGAAACTGTGGAACTTGTTTCCTTCTCCCCCTCGCACCGTGTCGGATGTTGCCTCTGTCAAATGCTCCAGGACGCTACCCCACGTGAAGGACACTATATAAATGCAAGTTTTTGTTGTTGTTGTAATTTTTAGACACCCGGCGCTGAGCAAAAACCAATAGAGCATCAAGCAGTTACCATGTGTCGCAGATGACTTGACATATTGTACAGTGGGGTGTATTACATAGTGAGTTTTAACTGGGTTCCTTAATTAAGGAAACTGGAAATTTATGATGTTTACTTGCAGTATTTCACTATAAATTCAGTAATTCCCCTGCACCAAGGGTTGCATTCAGAGCAGAGTTCCTGTGGATTGATGTGACTGACATATGAACCTTTACCAGAAGGACTACCCACTCAAATGTCTTAGTTAGGAAATTAATATATATTAGACCTCGATGTCATTGAAAAGATAAGCAAGGACTTGTAGGATGGGAAATGATGGCTTATTTAAAGATTTCCCATTGACTGCAGCCTTTTTCGCATCATCATTCTATCACTGACTGCATAAACATGAAAACACCTTCTCTGGTCTAACAACTGCTAAAAGGTTGTTATGTTATTGTTGAGTGACAAACAAGTCACTTGAGTTACAAACAAGTATGACTAATCTCACAAGTATCTAGTTCAGAAACCAGTTCTGTTACTGATGGAATGCAGAAATAATAATAATCCTTGAATTTGATATAGTGCTTTTCACGTCGGGAGGACGTCCCAAAGCGCTTCACAGAATACATTGTAAAGTGAATTGACTTTACATTTGTGGGTGAAAGCGGCAGCCAATTGCACACAGCAATGTCCCACAAACAGTCGTAGATTGAAAATGACCAATTTATTATTGTTTTTGGTTTTGGAGGGATTATTATTAGGCGTGTGGAGTAAGGAAACTTGCCCAAGGTTTCACCCTGCCTGGAATTGAACTCGGGTCTCTCGCTTGCAAAGCAAGTGCTCTATCCACTGAGCTACAGGACTCCACGAAATATCAGAACTGTGGAATGATTAGTGTTCACATTTCTTGTTAATAACTATGGATCTCAACCAATTATCTTGGATTAATTTTGAAGTCAAAATTTAGGGGAAGCCCCTAGTGAAGTACTTTAAATAACAAAGATGTAGGATCAGTCCACAGGAAGTGGTTAAGTTTGGGATTTTAAGACCTGTAGATTGTAGTACAAAGGAAAGATTAAGGAAGGCAAGAAGCACCTGAAAAAGCTCCAATTATAGAAGGAGACAGCAGTGAATTTTTTGTTTTCAGTATTTTAGGAGGAAGAAGAAAGGAGAAATTTCAAAGGAGAAATAACCATTGTAAAATCTAAAGATGTGTTGGATGTCAGAGTGAGGGGACCACTTGTTACCCTAACAATGTTTCAATCAGTTATCGGTATGCATATAACTAAACACTTTCTTTGTTGATCCTCTTTTCACAGTTACTTATAAACTACCACAAATGGAGAGCTGAATGCCCTGAGATCAGTGCCGACCTGCGGCCTTCATCAGTCATGGGACTCCTCAAGGCTGGTTACCATGCGGTTTTGAGGTCTCGAGACACCAGTGGAAGCAGGGTTTTAATGTATAAAATTGGTGAGTACTGAAACATCCAGTTTTTTCACTCTAGTCTATGTCTTGGAATAACACATTTTGGGATTCTATGCTCAGAACTGATCATTTTTACACCTATGTAGAATAATTGTTTGTTTGCTCAAACACCTTGCTCATCAGACTCCCTATCTCTTCCCTACACAAGCTGCAGACCTTTCATAACTCTACAGGCTGTGTCCTGTCTCGCACCAGGCTCTCTGAGCCCATCAACCCTATGCGGCTCATCTCCCTGGGTTCCCCATTCCCCAGTGAACTGAATTCAAGATTTGCATCCAACCTCTGAGACCTCCTGCAACCCTTCTGCTCCCCTAGCTCCTCAGCTCCCCACACTAGGACACCCAGTCAGTTGTGTGAAGTGTTTTGAGATGTCCTCTTGACGTGAAATGCACAATAGAAATCTTAATGTTGTTTCAGCTAGTAAGAATCCATGTGGAGTCCTGTAGCTCAGTGGTTAGAGCACTCGCTTTGCAAGTGAGATATCTGAGTTCAATTCCAGGCACAGGGCGAAACCTTGGGTAAACAGAGCCGAGTGGAGTAAGGAAACTTGCCCAACTGGGAATTACCCGGCCGGGAATCGAACCCAGGTCTCTCGCGGCAAAGTGTGTGCTCGAACCACTGAGCTACAGCTATAGAAGGCGTACACCATCTATCTAGGGCGAAAGCTTGGGCAAGTTTCCTTACTCCACATGCCTAATAATAATCCCTCCAAAACCCAAAACAATAATAAATTGGTCATTTTCAATCTACGGCTGTTTGTGGGACATTGCTGTGCACAATTGGCTGCCGCGTTCGCCCACAAATATATACAGTCAATTCACTTTACAGTGTGTTCTGTGAAGCGCTTTGGGACGTCCTCCCGACGTGAAAAGCGCTATATCAAATTCAAGGATTATTTATTATTATTTATTAAGAATATGACATATAGTATGCTTTTACAATTTCTGTTGCCACACAAGGTCTATAAAAAGATGTCATCATGTCTCAGTTGGTAGCACTGTGGTCTCTGAGTCAGAAGGTTGTGGGTTCAAGGCCTAAGGCAGCACTTGGAATCTATGCTGACACTCCATTGCAGTGCTGAAGATGTGCAACATTGTCAGAGATATTGTCCTTCCAATGAGACGCTAAACCAAGGCTTTGTTCAAGTGGACTTTAAAGATTCTATGGCATGATTCAAAAAGAGAGGGTAATTTCTCCTGGTGTCCTAGCCAACAATCCCCCAAATAAAAAAATTGTCACTTACTCATGCAAATTGGTCACCATGATCACCCACAAAATACACACAGTTACGTCATTTTACAGTATATCCTGTGAAGCTCTTTGAGACATCTGGATGACGTGATAATGTGCTATATCAAATGCAAGGATTATTGTTATTATTAAATTGGATCAAAATATTTGCATAGTGTTTGTCCTTTTACGGGAAACATATTTGTTCTTAGGAGTTTAAATTTGTTAAATCAATATTGGGATTCTAGAATAAGTGTTTTGTTCAATGTGATGCTTTAGCAACTAAAGGAGTTGCGGCCAGTACACAGCATTTCAACAGTTTGAAGGACTTCAACGGCAGCTTGGATATAAACCAATGAAAAGAATTGGAATTTGAAAAGAACAATCAAATTCATATTGGTAGTTTTTTTGATTATGCAACAAATTTCCTTGTGTGAATATTACTTATTCCTGAACTAAGAAACTCGTTGTATAAAAAGGAATCCTTGTAAGAAAGATGTCAAGGGTGCTATAGCAAATTCTTGAAAGATCTAAATGGCTTAAGAGTCAAAGGTTATGATTACATTCATAAAACAAGAGCTACTGCAATACATGGGACCTTCATGTGACATAGCATCAGTAATCTGATGTTTCGAAACTTTTTAGACCCACGATAGGGTGATGCTTCTTTGTTTTGCTCTCTGGCCTTTTTTTTAGGTTTCTGTCGAGTTTTTGAATTACAATTACCTAGCTTGTGAATCTCCCCAGTTAAATAGGTTTCAGGACTCAAAACCTCAAGCTGCAGTTAGCACATTGAAAATATTGCAAATCCACAGTAATATAACGAGTTGAAAAGCGCTATCCTCAGGAAAATGGTAAGATAGTGGCACTTGGCATTTTGTTTTGGTCGGCCATGTGTCTGACACATGTGGAAACCCATCCCCATGCTTAAGAATATTGAAACCAGACTCAGAGTACCAAATAATAATAATCCTTGCATTTGATATAGCGCTTTTCACGTCTTCTAGACGTCCCAAATCACTTCACAGAATATACTGTAAAGTGAATTGACTGCGTATTTGTGGGCGAAATATGCATGCCACCAAGGCATTTTCCTGAGTCTTAGGGATCCTAAAGTGTGCCTTGGAGTACTACTGGAGTTTAAACAGCTCGCCCACATCACTTGCCATTGGGACCACCTGGGACCATCCAACTCATTACGCTTCGGTTTGCAGTTCTGGGGAGGAGTTAAGAAGTTGAGTGGGAAGAATCCCTGCCCCAATTGACTAATCTGTCCCTCTATGTTCTGTCAATAAATAAGGTCTGTTAGCAATAGTGCCTTAGAGTATTGCGACCCAACTGACTCAGGAACCAGACAACTGAGATCCCCACAGTTGGTCAACCTGATACAACAACAAACTTACATTTATAGAGCGCCTTTCACGTTGGAAGGACGTCCCAAAGCGCTGAACAGTCAGGTGTCGCGGCCCGAGCATGGGGGAGTGGTGGTGTAGGGCCTCGGTCTTGCTGATGTTCAGTTGGAGAAAGTTGTCCCTTGTCCAGGTCTTGATGTTGGACAGGCAGTTGATCAGGACGCTAGTAGCACTGGAGTTCAGTATGGAGGTAGAGAGATGGAGTTGGGTGTCATCCGCATACATGTGGAAATTTACCCCATGTATGCAGATGATGTCACGAAGGGGGAGCATGAAGAGGGTGAAGAGGAGGGGACCGAGGACAGAGCCCTGAGGAACACTGCACGAGATGGTGCGGGGGCTGGAGGAGAAGCCATTTGCCACAACGACGTGGAGGAGGTGTGAAAGTTAGGACCTGAACCAGTCAAGGACAGAACCTTGAAGGTTGAGGTGGGATGAGAGGTGGTGGAGGAGGATTGAGTGGTCCACGATGTCAAAGTCGGCGGAGAGGTCGAGGAGGGCGAGGAGTCAGAGGGAGCCCTGGTCACACATGGTCAGGATGTCATTTGTGACCTTGACCAGAACAGTAAACCCGAAAGGAGGAGTTCATGGAGGGAGTAAGAGGAGAGGAAAGAGCGAAGCTGGCAGGCAACGGCTCTCTCAAGGACCTCGGATAGGAAAGGGAGATTTGAGATGGGCCGGTAGCTAGATAGCTGTGATGGGTTGAGGGAAGGTTTCTTCAAGGTGGGGGTGATAGTGGCTGTTTTGAGGGGGGAAGGAACAATGCCAGATGACAGTGAGAGGTTAATGATGTCGGCGAGTATTGGGGCAAGGAGGTGGAGCTGGGATTTAAGGAGAGGGGTTGGGATGGGGTCCAGGGAGCAGGTGGTGGGCTTCATGAAGGTTACGGTGGTGAAGACAGAGGAGGGGATGACAGGTTCAAAGGTGTGGGAGGAGGGATGTGTAATTGTCAGATGGGTAATTTGTGCGGGATGCGAGTAGGGAAGGGGTGGACCTTAGGAGGGCAGTGGCAGCTGAGCGGATTCCCTCGATTTTGGACTCGAGGAAGTCCAGCATTTTCTCGCAGTGGGAGTCAGAGGAAAGTATCTGCGAGGCGTGTCGGGGAGGGCAGAGGAACCGGTTGGTGGTGAAGAACAGGAGCCTGGGGTTGCGCTTCGCCTCCAGGGTTAACCTGGAATAGAAGGATGATTTGGCTGAGGCGAGAGCGGAGCGGTGGGTCTTGATGAGGTCCAGCCAGATGTGGCAGTGGACCGTTAGGCCAGATTTGAGCCAAGTGCGTTCGGCAGACCGATATATTTGATTTTGATATATCTAGGTTAAACATCTCACGTTGGACCTAGGTCAGCCCTGCAGATGTCTGCCGTGCTCAGTTGGTAGCTCTCTCTCACCTCTCAGTCAGAAGGTTATGGGTTCAAGACTTTCATGTTTCCAATTCAGTACTAAAATAGTCCAATGTAGTGTGTGTATGGCCAACCAGCAGTGTCAAGCGCCTTGAGACATCCTTCCGATATTGAAAGGTGCTATACACATGTATATTGTATTATCTATATTAATCTTAGCAGGACTATGAACTCTATTTTGTATGTAATGTCTGGATCATGTTAGTGGTCTGTTGTGCTGTGTTGTTTAATATTCTGATGTCCTTGGGATTTTTACTTGTTTGTAAATGTTGGGTAAATTTTGTTCACTGTCGGTATGTGTAGTGTCTCTGCTTCACTTAGCATATTGCTCTTCAATAGTTTCTCCCATATCAATAACAAGCAAGAACGTGAGCCACAAGCTGTGAGGTCAATTTAGCAGTACATTCAACATGTAATCCCATTCGATGTGCCCGAAGCAGACTCAGTTTCTCAAAACCATTCTCAAAGGTAAAATCTGCAAAACTGGGCCTGCAACATTGCTGGCTTCCGGATTGCAGTATTTTAATGGGATAGAGGCATTTTGGTAAATAAATAACTCAAAAGGCCAATATTCCTCTAATCAGCAAATGAATTCTATGATCCATGAGGTGGAAGCAAAATGTCGCTGACCCAGTTTATGGACATCGCCATTGAGTACAGTTCAGGTGAGGGGACCATCTCCAACACATTCATGTACAATCAATCAGATAATAATAGTAATTGGACTGGGGGAGTGGTTATCAAAGCCAATCTTAAATTTGGCCTTGTCTAACATCCATCCACCTTCCAAAAGAGGTCTCTCGACAGCTGTCAGGAGCCAAAACCCTGGTTTCCCCCTCCTCTCTTTCTCGCTCCTCTCTCCGTCCTCTCTCCCCACTTCCTCTCTCCATTCCCTCCCCACCCCACCCCCCCCCTCCACACACACACACACACATTCAAGGGCCCCAAGGAAATTTGTAGCTCCCAAACTTTTTCTCTGCTGAAATCAGATAATTTAGCACAGATTAGGATGTCAACGTTTAAATTTAAACTGTGATACTCTTTGATACTTTGATATATGTGTCAACCACCCAGTTAACCCCCAAAAAATTGGAGATCATCCTCATTGCTCTCCTCTGACTGACTTTAGGGCCGGGACAACTTAGTTATGTCCTGGCAATCAGAACGATATGAAAGACTCTACATTCTCAATAAGAGCACTTTACAGCTTAACTCTGACGTCTGGAGATTTGACCTCAACAGATTTGGAAATACAGTCCAACATCCTATTTCCTTGTTTCTTGCTGCTTCTCAGTGTTTTGACATGGTGAACAATGAGTCAACTAGACTTCTTTCTGCTTCCTCCTTGATATCACTCCATTGCACCCATGGAGTGTGTGTGGTACTTCCTCTTTTACTTACCAAATGCAGTACCTTCCATTTATCTTCCATTTATTTATTTGCCAGTCATGAGCCCATGTGAATAGCCTGTCAAGCTCTTTACGTCAGGCCTTTGCTGTCTCTTCTAATTCCATAGCTCTCCCCAAATCAGCTGCAAATTTATCTTGCACTCAGTCTGCAAAAACAGGAGGGATTTCAGTACAGACTCATAGGCACTCTACTTAATACCTTCCCTATTTGACCTAGTTTCTCCACCCCTGTGAAGCACTCTGGAACACTACCCCATGTGAACGGCACTATATAAATGCAAATAGTTTTATTTCCCTAACAGTTATCCTCTGCTTCCTTCCCTTCAGCTAATTTCAAATCCATGTCCATTCCTTACTCTTGATACCCAGTGACATCAGTTTGTGAAAGAGTTTCTCACGTGGCACTTTCTCAAACACTGTTTGGAAGTCTAGATACACTGAATCATACAGCTTCCCACAGCCAATTTAAGATGTCCCCTTCTCCTATAGGAGGGGACAAGATCTACCCCTTCTGAACTTTTGCTGGCTATCATAGAATTACCTAGAATACACAGCACAGAAACAGGTCCACATGAGCCTTCTCCTGCCCTTCCTCAATTAAGCCTATCAGCATAACCTTCCATTTCTTTCTCCTTCATGTACTTATCTAGCTTCCCCTTTATCCCTTTGCTCCTCTACCCCATTTAGATTCTTATTTTCCAGGCAGTATGTGACCTCCTTATTCCTCTTACCAAAATGTACCATCTTACACTTATTTATATTGGAATTAATTTGCCAATTAAATGCCGATTCAGCAAGTTTATTATTGTCTTGTTGCAGCCCTCCTCAGTATTAACCACAGCCCCCAATTTGGTGTTGTCCGCAAATTTTGAAATAGTACTTTTGATCCCCGAGTCCAAATCTTTAATGTAAATTATGAACAACCGTGGTCCCAATATCGATCTTCATGGAACACCACTTCCCAACCTCTGCCAGTCTGAGAAGGTACCCTTTACCCCTACTCTCTGTTTTCTGTCTTGTAGCCAGCTTGCTATCCATTCTGCTACTTTTCCCCTGACTCCACATGCTTTGACCTTATTCATTAATCTATTATGCAGTACCTTATCGGACGCCTTTTGGAAATCCAAATATATTACATCTATGCACTATCTTGTCTACTCTTTATGTTATCCCTTCAAAGAATTCAATGTGATTGATCAAGCACCATTTTCCTTTTTGAAATCCGTACTGATTATTCTTTATTATATTTTCAGTTTCTAGATGTTTTTCTATTTGTGGAGTCCTGTAGCTCAGTGGTTAGAGCACTCGCTTTGCAAGTGAGAGACCTGAGTTCAATTCCAGGCAGGGCGAAACCTTGGGCAAGTTTCCTTACTCCACATGCCAAATAATAATCCCTCCAAAAAAACAAAACAATAATAAATTGGTCATTTTTAATCCACGACTGTTTGTGGGACATTGCTGTGCGCAATTGGCTGCCGCGTTCGCCCACAAATATACAGTTAATTCACTTTACAGTGTGTTCTGTGAAGCGCTTTGGGACGTCCTCCTGACGTGAAAAGCGCTATATCAAATGCAAGGATTATTAGGATTATTATTACCTCTTTCAGTAAGGATTCCATCATTTTTCATACCACCGATGTTAAGCTGACAGGTCTATAGTTCCCTGGGGTTGTTCTATCTCCCTTTTTAAATATAGTGTTTAGGTAACATTAGCTATCCTCCAGTCCTCTGGCACTGCTCCCTTTTCTAATGAATTATTATATACATGTGATAGTGCTCTCTCTTCCCTAGATTCTTTTAATGTACACAGATCCAATCCATCTGGACCAAGATGGATTGCATTAGTTTATCAGTTTATTCTTACACTAGTAATTTTCTAGATGATTGACTCCATCAGCAGTCCACATATTGAGATCAGGCTAATGGATCTGTAGTTACATGGTATGGATCTGTTACTTTTCTTGAATAATAGAACAATATTTGCTTACTTCCAGTATGTTGGAACCTCAACAGTGGCAATTGATTCCCTTATAATTTCTGTCAATGCAACACAAATCTCCTGCCTTGTCTCCCTAAGTATCATGTATGCCAGAGAATTTGTTGGTTTACAGCCCCTTGAGTCTATCTAGAACCTTATTCCAAAGTCTTGGAGCTGAAGCAATGTTAGCAGATTTTTTTAGTGTCTTCTTTGGCAAAAACCTCCAGGACATACAGTGAAGTATAAATGAAGTACAAAGTATAAATAAGAGGTGGGTGGATGGGATAGAATTTGCCAAGGGGGAACTTGAAAGAGTCCTGGAGGCAAATAATTAAGAGAAACGGAAGAAAATCAGATCCACTGTGTTGGATGATAAAGTGGGTGGAGTCGAGTCCACGTTAGGATAGATTTTGCATGGTTTGTGTTAGGAGCAACTTGATATGCCAAATAGCAGATATTTGATATGTACCGATCACGTGTACCCAGGTGTGTGTGCAGCTGACTCTCAATGGTGACACCTGCCAGTTGGAACCAAGTTGTGTTCAGGTTAACTATGAGTTTTAGATGGAAGTGCTTTATTAATGGTTGCTGTCACAGACTTGCTTTTTTAAGTACCGCCCACTGGAAATGAAAACAGTTCCATAAGAACATAGGACAAGAGTAGACCATTCAGCCCTTCGAGCTATTCCTCCATTTAATTAAATCATGGCTGATCTGTACCTCAATTAATCCTTTCAATTCCAATTTCCCGCTTTCTCCCCATATCCCTTAATACCCTGACCTACCAAAAATCTATCAACTTCACTCTTGAAGGTGTGGATGGATCCAGCATCCATGGCCTTTTGGGGGAGAGAATTCCAATTTCTATCAACCTTTGAGTGAAAAAATGCTTCCTGATTTCACTCTTAAATGGCTTGGTTCTAATTTTAAGACTATGCCCCTTGTTTTGGATTCCCCCACCAGAGGAAATAGCTTCTCTGTATCAACCCTAATGAATCCTTTTATCATTTTAAATACCTCAATCAAAGGTATTTGATTTGACTTGTGGAATAAATCCACAATAAAGTTGTTTCTTTCCCAGCTGCTGTTACAAAGTATTACTGAAATGACCATAACTTGGAATTGGAAAGCACCAAATTGTTGTGCCTTTGCTTTAAGTGTTATCTGGGGTTAGGGGCTGCTGACCTTCAGTGGTATTTTATCACTGACATGAGTGTTTCTTTTCACAGGACATTGGGACCCCAAGTTATATTCAACATACGAAGTGTTTCGGGTCAGTCTCATTACATCAGAGCTGATCGTGAAGGAGCTCCAGACCCAGCTGAATGGTGTGAAGGTTATCTTTGATCTTCACGGATGGCGATTTGCTCATGCCCTGCAGATCAACACCACCATTGCCAAAAGAATTGCCTCAATTTTAGTGGTGCGTTTTTCCCTTTACCAGTAAAGCTTGTGTGAAGTATAAATAAAAGGTGGGTGGATGGGATAGAATTTGCTAAGAGGGAAATTGAAAGAGTCCTAGAGGTAAATAAATAATACAAAGAGCAGGAGATCAGATCCACTTCTGAGATTGGCATAAATTCAACCCCAGGAGATAATCCTAAGAGCTCCTCAAATGCTTAGTTATGGCTAAATTTTATGTTTAATCCCAAAGCAGATGCCACGTATAATAATAATCCTTGCATTTAATATAGCATAATATCACGTCGTTGAGACGTCTCAAAGCACTTCACAGGATATACTGTAAAATAAATTGACTGTGTATTTTGTGGGCCAATACAGTGTCATGTATGCAACACATTAGTGAGCTATTGCCTCATAGTGCTATAGCATGGCTAGGCAGATAACCTCAGAGCGAAGAGCTCAAAAAGTGCAAAGTCAACATATTAAGTTAAATTATGAAGTCTTAAAAATGCTGGATAATCTGTTGCATCACCTGTTTAAGGTTTTAATGTTGGTTAAAGAACAAGGGTTCCAACCAGCTCTTCTCTAATATTAGAATTCTCACATATATTTAGACTTCAGCAATCATGCATTATGTGTGCACAATGCTCTGCTTTCCCAGGGGACCAAATGAACACTGTCACTTGGTGGTATCTGCTCACACGCTTTCAGAACAGCAGCTCAATTTTAAACAAGTATTTTTTACTGGAGAATTATAAGCATAAATATTAATCTTGTGCTTATCTGAGACTCCTGTTAACAAGCAGCTCATTGGGTTAGCAGATCATACATTTAGAGCATACATCAGATATCTGATGGTACAACAACAACTTGCATTTATATAGCTACCCCTTCATGTGGGGTAGCGTACTGGAGTCATACAGACCAGAAGATCTCAGGTTCAATTTCGTATGAGTTATTTGGTCTCAGCCAAGGTATTGAATGTTACAATTTGCCTCACTGCCCATTAGTTAGCGCTCTTGCTCCCACTTGCCACCCGGTATGGATGGTATTCAGGAGAGGACAGGATCGGGCTTGATTGTGATTCACTCTTTGATCGAATACATTGCGGACGCTCACACATGAAGAATGATGAAGTGTCGCTTAGTGCCTATGGAAATGAATCCCAACAAAAATCAGCATTTTCAGGAGACGATAATAGAGGAGATAATTGGCAAAAGTATCATACATTAAGAGCAAAGTGAAATGCTGTCATTCCCAGTCACGAGAAACTGACATGAAAAGCTGTGCATTTGATACACTTGCATAAAACAAAAAAAATTGTGAAATTAAATGAGTGAGAAGAACAGCGTTGCATGATCATATCCTTTCCTAAATGGTGTGGTTTTTGCTAAATGCAGTGCTTAATCAGCTGACGTAAATGTTACATATATAGTATCATATATCCAGCTCCTCATGAACATTGGCAAGCTCATGATTCTATAGAATGAATAGCAGTTTCCATCAGATAGTAATGGAGGGACAGATGGAAAAGGCCCTTTGACCCATTTCATTTCAGCCTTCCAGAATACCAACCCTACCATCTTTCTTTCACAGCATCAAGCTATTTCATAAATTATTCCTATCTTGAACTGAGTGCCCTTGACCCACAGAGATAAATAATATCCTTAGATCTGATAGGGTGATTTTAACACCAAGAGGTTATCTCAAAACAGGATCTACTGTGAAGTGTAGCGACTTTTTTGTAAGTGAATATGGCAGCAATTTTCCACAAACAGGCATGAAGTGAATGACCAATTTTATCTGGGGATAAACAGTCCTAACTAACCTCCATTAGTAACCAACAAGCTCTCATAAAAATAATGTTAAACTTATTCCAAATACTCAACTGATTTAAGAAACTGCAAAAATGTCTGCTGTGGTAAATAATCAACAGTGGTTTGGGGATGGTATTCATAGGGAGAAATTCCACTTGGATGTAGGTGGAATTGTTAAATTCAGTCTTAATTTTGAAGCTGGTTTTCATAAGAGCATAAGAATTTGCTAGGATAAAGAAGACCAAGGTCCATCCAGTTTACCTTCCATCATCCTGGCAATTGCATATTATGTCCCAAGCTATATATTGTATCCCAATATATTATTTCCTAAGTTTTCAAAAGAACTTACAGAAAGATGACTTCAAAGTTAAGACTGAATTCAATAATTCATCATATTCTGGGGCCTCTGAAATATGTCACTAAGTAAATCTAGAGCCAGGGGGAATTTCTATCATTTGAAGTGTTAAAATTCATCCAAGGTAGTCCTACTTCTCAACCTGAATTTACTGCTGTAGAACATATCGTTTTTTTATGTTCTGATTGTATACAAATGAATGTTGAAATCAAAAAGACTGCATTTCATTAATTTGTACCTGACTGCAAATATGATGAGGAATCTTTCTTTTCATTCTTAGGACTCTTTTCCTCTGAAGGTCCGAGCTATCCATGTAATTAACGTGCCTTTCATATTCTATTCAGTCATTGCCATAATTAAACAATTTCTGCCTGAAAAGATCAAGGATCGGGTGAGTAACCCCTTACATTTCCCTTTATTTGCTTTGGAAATAATGCTCTTTCTGTACTTAAAACAGGAATGCACTCTCCACTAATACGTGTGTTTAACAGGAGCTGAATAACAATCAATGTCACGGTTGGCATTGGAAGGAATCACTAGTCGTGTAATTCTGTTGCCAACAATCTGCTGATTTTACTTTTCAACTGTGCTTACTGTCACACTCCTGTACCCCACCCGGCTCGGAGTTAGGCTCCACCACTGTTAAGCACTCTGAGACTCTACCCTGTGTGGAGGGTGCTATACAAGTGCCACTTGTTGTTGTTGATTCAAATCATTGTCCTTTTAAATCCTCTTGAACTGGGGTCCTGCTCGTGTCTCCAGCATTGACATTTTAAGCCTGGGTAGTCTGGGCAAACCTCAGACTATGAATGCATCTGTTACTTTAACAACGTCACTCTGGTCCCTTTGCAGTGCATTGGATATTAACAAGCGTGATAAAATCATTACTATTTCTCTCATCTCTCGAAGACAGGAGAGGAAATACATCAGGAAGGAAGTATTAAATCTGCTGCTCCTTTAAAACACACTGAACTTTCTTGTTGCATATTTAAAGCAATTTGAATTGTACTGAAATATCACTTAAAACTGTGAAGCTTGCAACTGGCTCTTCAGTTCTTGGTTCAACCTTCACATTACATCTTTGAGCTCATAGTCTAAGATGGCACTTCTGCAGTGCTGGGGAGCGCTGCATTTTTTGAGGTGTACCTTTCAGATGAGATTATTTTACTGATGGAAATAATAACTCACTCTTCCAGCGGTATATAATACAAAACCCATTTATGTAGTGTCTTTCATGTCAGGAGGACTTCTCAAAGCACTAGACAGGGTTGGGAGCTGAGGAGGGTGGGGAGGGGCAAAGATCACCAAAAGCACAAAGAGGCATATTTTGAGATCTGCCTTGAAGGGGAAGGAGGGAGCAAGTAAGAGGGACTTCGGGTTGAAGTTCCAGAGAGCAGGGTTGGAATGGCTGAAAGTCCACTGGTCAACAGTTAGGGCAGGAAACATGTTGAAGGCCAGTATTCCCTGAGCAAATCAGGCCTCAGTGAAATCATGAGAATAATTGGGGTTGCAAATATCATACTATTGTGGTTTAGTGTTAGGCACTCTAGAGGGAGCTCTGAACTGTATTGGTAAGCTTTAGCTACAATGGGAGCATCTGATGCAAACACTAGGTGGTTAAAAGCAAACATATTTCATTCCTTGGAATACATAGTCTAGACCAGGGATGGGAAATTATTTTGGCTGGCGGGCCACTTGACGAGTTTTGGTAAGCTTCGCAGGCCACACACTTAATATAGATGCAAATGCTTAATAATAGCTCAAAATCAAGTCTTACACTTGTACATGCATAAAATAAAGTCTATATAATTGACATTCATTAAAATTGGGTTAAATAAAAACAACTCATTGAGCAGACATTTATTCAATATTTATTAATTTATTCACATATTGATGAGAATGTGAGAAGCTCACTCAATGGGAAGAATGAAAGCGCTGATGTGTGTTATACAATTGAAGTCAGGCATCGTCTCCGTTGTTCCACTGCGGAGTACTGCTGCAAGGTGGTCATCAGTCCTCAGAGATCTATGTTTTAATTTATTGAATTTCATCACAGAAAATGTCTCCTCGCATGTATATGTTGATCCAAACAGCATAAGCATCCTCCGGGCATGAGCCTTTATTTTTGGAAAGGTATATTCATTACGGGAGAGGTAAAAACTGGGAAGCGGCACTCATTTGAATTGCTCCCCAAGCAATGAATCACATTGCAGGTCAATAAACTTGATTTGGAGGTCAAATGGGGCTTTGTCAACATCAAATGAGAAAGGTGAAGAGACCAAAGACAGGTCATTTTCGAACAGATTGAAATCCTGGAATCTGCGAGAAAATTCAGCATGTAAGTCAAGTAGTGACGAAGTATACTTTTTAAGGCTTTGATCGCAAACAATAATCTGCTGCAAATTTGGAAAGTGGACAAACTGCCTATTTCCTATCTGATGTGATATAAAAAATAATTTCATCATAAACCACTTGACAATGCAATACAAATCGTGAACAAAGGCCCCCTTCCATTGCAGTTTTGAATTCAGTTCATTCATGTGGCCCGTGATATCAGTAGCAAATGCGAAATCAGAGAGCCAATTCGCATCATTCAGCTGTGGGAAATACAAATCTTTTTGTTTCATGTCCAAAAATAAATCAATCTCTGTTCTCCGATCCCATACTCTTTTCAAGACCTTTCCTAAACTAAGCCATCTTACATTTGTGTAATACAGAACATCCGTGTGCTTGGATTCCAATTCCTCAAGCAGAGTTACAAATTGCCTGTGGTTTAATCCTCTTGCTCGAATATAGTTGATCACTTTCTTAACTGTGTCCACGACATTACTTAGTGTTAGAACACTCTTACAGAGGACCTCTTGGTGGTAATGCAGTGTAGAAAAACAATATTTTGTTCTGGATTTGTTTCTTTGACTTGATCTTGAATTCTTTTCAGTAACCCAACATTTTTGCCTGTCAGATTTGGGCTTCCATTGGTGGACACATTCACCAATTTTTTCCACTCCATTCCTAATTTTAAGATACACTTATTTACTGCCTCCAAAAAGTCTTCCCCAGTTGTTATATCTTTCATTGACGCCAATTCTTCTGTGAGCTCAAAATGTTTGGTGAATACCTCGAATAAAAATTATCAACTGGGCTGTGTCTTTGACATCACAATTCTCATCGAGTGCCAGTGAAAAACATGCAAAATTGCTTACTTTATTTTGTAACTGCAGATACAGGTTCTCAGAGATATCCTCGACACGTTCGTCTTGACAAGCTAATGTTCTCGAACTGTTTTTTCTTATCTGGGCATAAAATCGAGGCAGAATCAACCATACATTCCTTTATAAATTTTCCTTCAAGCAGTATTTTGCCCACTCCTGGTCCAGTCTGATTATTTTAGCAGCAACGGTAACATTTTAAGAAGAAACTCAAATGATTGCTAACATGGAAAATTGCCGTTGATGGGAAAGAGATATATTTTAAAATTGGGCGAAATCTATTTCATTTCTGCAGAATTTGCTGAAAGTAAATTTAGATTTTCTAACATGTTTCAGATCTACCTGCATGGAAGCGATTACCAACGCAGCCTTCATCAGCACTTCCCAATGCAGATTCTTCCCCCTGATTATGGTGGTCAAGGATCTGAGTATAACGAACTGTGTCAGGAGTGGACCACATTTGTGCAGAAGTCTGAGAAGGATCTTCTTAAGCTTTCACTAGTTACTTAAGACTTTGTGGTGCAAAGTGCTTGTTTTGGGAAGAAAAAATACTAAACTTGTTTAGTTACATTTTGACAAGCTAGTTAAGTTGTTTGAAAAAATGATTGTATGTACTATCAAACCAGCAGGTGCCTACTTATACATATTTGTTACATATGTAGATATTCCTTGTTTAAAGAGAATGATACAGTGAACATAGAGCTTTATTAATGTAATGTACTGATTTGTATTAAAGAATTATTTTAAGAATATAGGTCGGAATTTTTTTTGTCTTTCAACATATTTGTCAATAATTTTCAATATTTATAACTGTTAGAATTGAAGCAAGCGAGAGGACCTGAGTTTGATTCCCAGACAGGGCGAAACATTGGGCATGCTTCCTTATTCCACATGCCTTGATTTACCTAGGAGTAAGGAGGAACCTGGTTGTTGGTCGATTGGCGGATTGCTTTTCCGGGGATATTAATCCCATCAAAATAATAATAATAATTTGATCACTTAATCCATGACTGTTTGTGGGACACTGCTGTGCGCAACTGGCTGCCTCATTTCACCCATAAAACACTGTATCAAATGCAAGGATTATTATTATTGATGGTGAAGGCATCTTTTTAATAATGGGTCAATCTTAGTTGGCAGATTACGAGACCAATCTGAAATTTGTTGATTTAATTTTAACATGTTTAATTTTAGTGAAGTAGAAAATATGACTAGTTCCATATCTCCGCCAGTAGGAGGCATTATAGGCCAGAGTAACATCTTAACTCTAAACAGAAATGACTAGACAGTCAAGGATCGGCGTGGTTCTCCTCTTCTTGTAAATTTCTTTTACAATTGGAGGAATTCATCTTGGTTTGGATTTTATGAAAGCACTTGTTCACTTAACTCAGCCATGGATTTTTGACATCCATCTGAACAGGCAGAAATGTGGCTTGTACCTACAACCTTCTGGCTCAAAGGCAACTGAGCCATGCTGACACCAGGCAGAAATAATGAAACACAACAATATACTGCTTAATAAATATGATTGAACATATTACAGTTATTTCCTATTGTACTAATCTTAAACTCAGTTTATTAACAAGTACAAGCTCTTTACATATACTGCAGAATGCAATGGTTCTTGTATCTCTGTGACATGCAATTGCCATAAATGGAAAGTAACTCAACAGTGTTGACATCGAAGGACGAAGGAGTGGGGGAAATTTAATACAATGCAATTTATACTGATATAAGCATCTTGCACATCCAGGAGGATGTCCCAAAATTCAGGATGGGCACGATGCCCGAGCAGTGGGGGGCAGGGAGGCGCACAGGAGAGGAGGTCAAGGCAAAAGTGACCATTGGCAAAGGGAGTGAAACTCCGGATGAGACAGACACCCCCTCCCCCACTCAGAGCACAGCAAGAGGGTGTACAGACCCCCCCCACACACACACACACACAGCACAGCAAGAGGGTTACAAACTCCCCCCCCCCTCCCGCCCCACACAGAGCACAGCAAGAGGGTGTACAGACCCCCACACACACACACAGAACACAAGAGGGTTACAGACCCCCCCCTCACACACACACAGCACAACAAGAGGGTTACAAACTCCCCCCCCCCCCCCCCCCGCCCCACACAGAGCACAGCAAGAGGGTGTACAGACCCCACACACAGAGCACAAGAGGGTTACAGACCCCCACACACAGCACAGCAAGAGGGTTACAGACCCCCTCCCCCCCACACACAGAGCACAGCAAGAGGGTTACAGACCCCACACACAGAGCACAAGAGGGTTACAGACCCCCTCCCCCCCCACACACACACACAGCACAGCAAGAGGGTTACAGCCCCACCCCTTTTGGCACAGAGTTCAGTGTCATTTGGTCAGTACAGAGTCTACAGGAGGAAGTTTGCAGATCGTTGGCTTTAGATGCAAAGTAGGAAGTGACTTCCGCAGCCTCTCACTCACACAAGCTGCACAGAGCAGCAGCGGAGTGTGGAGAGGGAGAGAGAAGCAGGAAGTGCCGTGCAGACTGCCAGCTCAGCCCCGCAGACATGTTCCGCTTGCCGCTCCTGCTCCTGCTCCTGAGCCTGTCTCTGCGCCGGGACTGGGACACGGTCTGTGCGGCGCCAGTCACACAACTCAACCAGCGGCCAATCATCGGTAAGAGACATAATCTCTAACAGCCACGAGCAGGTTACTGTGAGATTACTAGCATGAGACTAGAGACCGAGATTACCAGCGTGAGACTGGAGACCGAGATTACTAGCGTGAGACTAGCGACCGAGATTACTAGCGTGAGACAAGCGACCGAGATTACTAGCATGAGACTAGCAACCGAGATTACTAGCGTGATACTAGCGACCGAGATTACCAGCGTGAGACGAGACCGAGATTACTAGCGTAAGACTAGTGACCGAGATTACTAGCGTAAAACTGGAGACCGAGATTACTGGCGTGAGACTGGAGACCGAGATTACTAGCGTCAGACTAGAGACCGAGATTACTAGCGTCAGACTAGAGACCGAGATTACTAGCATCAGACTAGAGACCGAGATTACTGGCGTCAGACTGGAGACCGAGATTACTGGTGTCAGACTGGAGACCGAGATTACTAGTGTCAGACTAGAGACCGAGATTACTAGCGTCAGACTGGAGACGACAACAACAACAACAACAAGATTCCATTTATAAAGCGCCTTTCACGTCAGGAGGACGTCCCAAGGCGCTGCACAGTTGGGTCATGACCCGAGCAGGGGGGAAATGGTGAGGGGAGGGAAGGGAGGGAGCAAGGAGGGGGGAAATGGTCAGGGTGAGGGGAGAGAAGGGAGGGAGCGAGGAGGGGGAAGAGAATCGAGAGGGGAGCTGAAGGCTCGGTCAAAGAGAAAGGTTTTGAGACCGGCCTTGAAGGAGGAAAGGGAGGAAGCAAGGCGAAGGCACTGGGGGATGGAGTTCCAGAGCCTGGGGGCTGAGAGGCTGAAGGCCCGGCCACCGATGGTAGGGCGGTTGGGGCGGGGGACGTGGAGCAGACCAGAGCCAGAGGAACGGAGGGTACGGGCAGGTAGGTAGGGGGATAGTAGGTTGGAGAGGTAGGAGGGAGCAAGGCCGTGAATGGCCTTGTAGGTGAGTGATGAGGATCTTGAATTCGAACCGATATTACTGGCATCAGACTGGAGACCGAGATTACTAGTGTCAGACTAGAGACCGAGATTACTAGTGTCAGACTGGAGACCGAGATTACTAGTGTCAGGCTCGAGAACGAGATTACTAGCTTCAGACTAGAGACCGAGATTACTAGCGTGAGACGAGAGACCAAGATTACTAGTGTCAGACTAGAGACCGAGACTACTAGAGTCAGACGAGAGAACGAGAGACCGAGATTACTAGCGTCAGACTAGAGACCGAGATTACTAGTGTCAGGCTAGAGATCGAGATTACTAGCGTCAGGCTAGAGACCGATATTACTGGCGTCAGACTGGAGACCGAGATTACTAGTGTCAGGCTAGAGACCGAGATTACTAGCGTCAGACTAGAGACCGATATTACTGGCGTCAGACTGGAGACCGAGATTACTAGTGTCAGGCTAGAGACCGAGATTACTAGCGTCAGACTAGAGACCGAGATTACTAGCGTGAGACGAGAGACCAAGATTACTAGTGTCAGACTAGAGACCGAGATTACTAGTGTCAGACTAGAGACCGAGACTACTAGAGTCAGATGAGAGAACGAGAGACCGAGATTACTATCGTGAGAATAGAGACCGAGATTACTAGCGTGAGACTGGAGACCAAGATTACTAGTGTCAGACTAGAGACCGAGATTACTAGTATCAGACTGGAGACCGAGATTACTAGTGTCAGGCTAGAGACCGAGATTACTAGCGTCAGGCTAGAGACTGAGATTACTAGCGTCAGGCTAGAGACCGAGAGACCGAGATTACTAGCGTCAGACTAGAGACCAAGATTACTAGCGTCAGACTAGAGACCGAGATTACTAGCGTCAGACTAGAGACCAAGATTACTAGCGTCAGACTAGAGACCACGATTACTAGCGTCAGACTAGAGACCGAGATTACTAGTGTCAGACTAGAGAATGATTGAGGGAGAGGAGATTGGTATTAAATTAGTAACCAGATTAAGAGATGTCGAATAGCAGACCAATGAACAGAGAGCACATTTCTCTTAGTTAATAGGTTGCTGCTATCAGATCAAATAAGACATGTTGCGAAGGTACTTTGGATAGACATTACTCCAGGTACCTTTACAATTGCCTCATAAAATCAAATTATACTCTGCAGTGGGAGAGGTTTCCACTGGTTACATGTGACTGCAATCAGTCTGTTTCAATTCCTCATTTGGGAATAAGCAGTTTATGATAGGTTGTTCAATCTCTGCTTATTGCAGCAGTTTATCCCTCCTTACATCACCAGGGAAACATGAATGACTGTTATTATACAATCCAGCTATGGCAATTCTAAGAAAATGCCCATACAAATTGATTATCTCAGGAGCCAAGGAGTTAATGATCAATTTTACCTGGGGAATGTTGGCCTGTTCACTGGGAGAAACTCTTTTCAAATAATCCCACAGGATTGGTAAAATCCACTAGAATGGGCAGACACAACCTTGTTTTAACATTGCACCTGAAGGATAGCACTTGTTGTTGTCCAGTCTTTTTTTTGAATGTGCACTTGATTGTCATCCCAACAACTACTGTGGCAGACAATTCCACACTCCCACCACTCTCTACACATCTCTGTTCTGGACCTCCCAGATATGATTTTAAAACTACATCTTCTAGTTCTAGCACTTGAACTCTTAGTCTAGAGTCGGGCATTACTGGGGAAACTCTGAATTGTCAGACGTGCTGTCTTTCGGATGAGATGTTTAGCCGAGATTCTATCTGCTCATTTTCCAGACGGATATTCGAAATCCTGTGACACTATTCAAAAAAGAGAACTGAGTTTCGCCCTGTGTCTGGACAACAATCCTCTAGTTAACTTCTTTCAATGTGATCAGTTGCTGTAAAAATATTTTTTTAAAAATCAAGTCTCATACTGATGTATCCATTTGAAAATTGAGGCTATCATTCATCCGGTTCTTAGTCGATTGGCGGATCGCTTTTCCGGGAGTAATAATTCCTTCAAAAATATAATAATCTATTGGTCACTCAATCCACGACTGTTTGTTTGTGTGTACAATTGGCTGCTCGGTTTCATCAACAAAATATACAGTCAACTTGCTTTACGGTATATTCTGTGAAGCGCTTTGAGACGACTCGAAGATGTGATAAGGCGCTATATCAAATGCAAGGATAATTATTATATTTCAATTAACTGAATCAACTCAGTGCGGTGTAACAACAGGATCGAGTGTGTTGTTTTGCCTATTATTCTAAACATTTTTTTTGTAGATTTAATAAACTTGTCTTTCAGTCAGTACGTCAGTTCAGATGTAACACAAATTGTTATAACACCTTGTGGTGCTTATTTACACATGTAGATCCAGATACTGCCCAGATGATTATCCTGGAATCTGAATAAACACACTTAGACAGTTTTTTAAAAAATTAAGGGATATGTAGACAGAGCTGGATTAATAAAAATAAATAATAATAATTCTTGCATTTGATATAGCGCCTTTCACATTGGGAGGGCGACTCCAAGCTCTTCATAGGATTTTACTGAAACATGGAGTGACTATGTATGTCGTGGGGAATTATGCACAGCAACAAGGTGATTTAATAATTCAGGTAGAAGGGAATTGACTCAATGGATGGAATGGTCTGAAAATCTTTGTTTTCTATATGATGTGCCTAATTATTGCCTATGCAAAAGATACAATACACAGCTAATGGGCATTATGTGGATACTACTTGAAACATTTGGTATAGCTGTACTCCATTGACAATAGCTTTTGTTTTGCTTGTCTTAGGTGTACTGACGCAGAAAACATACGGTGAACTTAACAAGTTTGGCAAAAGCTATATTGCTGCTTCATATGTTAAGCATCTCGAATCTGCTGGTGCAAGAGTTGTGCCCATAAGGTGGGTTCAGACCTCAATTTACACTGTTTACGTAGAATAAACCCATATTTCTGCTTAGTGGACACCCCTGTAACACTATGAGAGCCGATGCATGCATGTTTAAACATTTAAGTACAGCACTTTACATTTCTGCATAGCAAGTGTCTCCAAGATTACCCCATCTTGTGCTTCTATTCTGGTATGATGACTGAGTAGCACTTGGAATAGCAAAAATAGTCCTGATCCAAATTTGACTGTGCGGTTCCTGGATTGTGCAGCACATAACTAACTAATGGAAAGTGCAGCTCATCTGAATCCCAGTTCATACTACAATTCTACCAGTAAAACAACCATTTGTTTAGTAACACTGCCCATCTGTCAAGAATGATCCGTTAATCCATTTGACATTTAGGATGCAAATTAAGAAGTGGTGGATTTAAATATAAATTGAAAGGGAATAGCTACAGGTGAGGAATATATTGAAGGGAAATGACATTCCATTTCTTGAAGCAATAAACAAGTTGAAAGCTATCTGTAATTTTCATTGTATGATGAGGTGTAATTTGATGGTTCCCTGAGGCTATCGGTGCAGACTGTCTCTTACTATCTGTTTTTCTCAAGTGAAGGTGCAATGTTTTTCTGTTTGAACAACTGCTCCAGGGAACATTGTCCTGTGGTAGTGATATATGGTAGCAGAACTTGAAAGAGAAGACTTGTACGAAGAGTACGATTGATCCAATGGATTATTAAATATAAGAATCTTCATATTCAAATTTGGTTTGAGGAATTGGGCACATCAGGTATAATTGTAGTCTACATAATATGACTTTCCTTAGATATTGGTTCTGTTCTCTGGTAGATTTGTAGCAAAGTTTTGAGTCTTGTAATTCAGTTGATCTTTTCTTCATCTCTCTGGTTCAAGGATTTTGGGAGACTATTATCTTAATGCATGGACTTGGTAAAGGTCAACTGTTGCTATATCTTATTAGCTCGTGTATTCACACAAATCAGCCTGAAGAAATAATCTCATTCTACGATTGTATTGTATGTTTGGCAAAAATTGTGTTGGAGATTCATGTTTCATAAACATGCTGCATGCAAATCACACTTCTTCCCCCATCTTCATTCAAAGCATTTCTTGTTGAAACATGAACTTGGAGCCTCATACTCCTATCAAACAAAACTCTGATGAAAGGTCATTAGCCTGAAACATTAACTAATTTTCCTCTCTGCATTAATGCTGCCTGGCCTGCTGAGTGTTCCCAGTGATTTTTGTTTTTATTTCACAATTCCCCAAATAACAATTGTAATTCAGTTGTAATTGTAATTTTGTGGAGTCCTGTAGCTCAGTGGTTAGAGCACTCGCTGTACAAGCGAGAGACCTGAGTTCAATTCCAGGCAGGGCGAAACCTTGGGCAAGTTTCCTTACTCCACACGCCTAATAATAATCCCTCCAAAAAAAACAATAATAAAATTGGTCATTTTCAATCTACGACTGTTTGTGGGACATTGCTGTGCGCAATTGGCTGCCGCGTTCGCCCACAAATATACAGTCAATTCACTTTACAGTGTGTTCTGTGAAGCGCTTTGGGACGTCCTCCCAACGTAAAAAGCGCTATATCAAATGCAAGGATTATTATTATTGTCATCCAACTCATGGCTGTTTGTGGGACATTGCTGTGCATTGTTGGTTGATGTTCACCCACAAAATACACACAGTCACTGCACTTTATAGTATATACTGTGAAGTGCTTTGAGCCGTCCTCCTGGTGTGAAAAACGCTATTTCAAATGTAAGGATCGTTGTTAATATTTTTATAAAATGTTTGGCAGCTACTAACCCAGTATTTTGTTAGCTAATCTATTTTTGATAATCAATGATATATAACATGTCTACTGTGGCCAAATCACAAGCTGATTTAATTGCTGGTTCGAGTCAACAATATTTTTGAAGCGCAATCTTTGCGTAACAGATACTTTGGTATAAACCAGATTTCAACCTTTTTCAATATAATACATTTTGTTTCTTTGATAAGTTTGGACATTAATAATCCTTGCATTTGATGTGGTGCCTTTCCTGTTGGAATGATGTCTCAAAGCGTTTCACAGAATTTACTGTAAACAACAACAACAAAATTACATTTATGGAGCACCTTTCATATCGGGAGGATGTCCCAAAGCGCTGAACAGTCAGGTGTCGGGGCCCGAACATGGGGGAGGGGTGGTGTAGGGGTGAGGGAAGGCAGAGAGGTGGGAGAGAAACAAAAGGCACGATCGAAGAGAAGGGTCTTGAGACCGGACTTGGAGGAGGCAAGGGAGGAAGCGAGGCAAGGGGGCAGTGGGATGGAGTTCCAGAGTGTGGGGGCAGAGAGGCTGAAAGCCCGATCACCGATGGTAGGGGGGGTCGGGCAGGAGACATGGAGCAGGCTGGAGCCCGCTGAATGGAGGGAGCGGGCAGGTTGGTAGGGATATCAGCAGGTCAAAGAGGTACGGGGGGGCAAGGCCATGGATGGCCTTGAAAGTGAGGACAAGGATCTACGAACTGCGAGTAAAGTGCAGCAACCGTATTTTGTAGGCAAACACAGTAGCCAGTTTGCACACAGCAGTTTCCTACAAACCGCAATTAAGCGGATGACCAATTTTATTGAGAAGTTTATTGGCCAGGACACCAGGAAAATCTTCTCTTTTTGAATAGTGCCATTGGATTTTTAAAGTCCATCTGAACAGACAGATGTGACTTCAGTTTAACTGAATTATGTCACCTCTGACAATATACCAATTACAATAGTCAATAGTCTTGTTTGTGACTAGTTTGGTTGCCCTGAGGATAGTGTGCAATGCATATTTCAGAATTAAGTATTAATAGTTTGATATCTCTTCTGGTTGCATACAGTACAGTATTGTGTTTTTCTGAACAAGAGCTCCTTGCACACAGCACATTCATTTTTGATGTAACAGAATTAATCTAATCCAGATGATATTTTTATTTTTCCTACAGCATTAATTTGTCTGAAGATGAATGCAAGAAGCTCTTTTATTCTATAAATGGGTGAGTCATGCAGCCAGCAGTTCATTAAATCGCGGTAATCTGATTTTTTTGCTTGGGTCTGTGAACCATCACCAACCATTTACTGAGAATTGACTATTTTTAAATGTAGGGTTACATTGGCTGCGATTATCGCCAGTCTCCCCTGCTCATCCCTACACAAGATACAGACCATCCAGAACTCTACAGCCCATTTCATCTCCAGCATCAGGCTTGGGGATCCCATCACCCCAATCCTTGCTCTTCTCCACTGGCTCCCCATATCCTCAGCGGATTGCTCCCCTTTATCTGTGTGACCTCCTGTGATCCTACTCCCCCAGCCACTCCTTCTGCTTGGCAATCTCTGGCCTGCTTCATGTCCCACATGCAATCTGGCCTATCTTTATAAAACCATAGAAATTTACAGCACAACTTTCAGCCACTCTGCCCTAGCTCTCCAGAATTCCATGCTAAAGTCCATCCACCTTGCCTCCTCCTTCTCTACCTTCAAAATTCACCTGAACACCTATGGTTTTGACTCAACTTTTAGTCATCTGCACCCTCCCCCAGCTCTGGCTCCCAGTCACCTGCGTGAAGCAGTTTGCAACATCCTCCTGACCCGAAAGGCACTATATAAATGTAAATTGTTGTTGATAGTGTAAGTCACATTCAGACTCTTCAACAAGTGAAAACAGCCCATCAACTATTTGATCTCTATGTTCCCTGACCATTGGAGTAAAGATGGGTGTTGGTCATTTGAATCATTGCAACACAATTTTTTCTCATAGGCTTAAAGATCTTGAAACAATGCTTTAAAGTGACAGTGTTGTGCATTTGTTTTCAGGTTGCTCTATCCAGGTGGTGGAGTAAACATCATGACATCTTCATATGCTAAATTGGCAGCTATCTTCTATAATCTTACAATTGAGGTAACTTGAAATTATGATTTTGTATTTTAGCTGTTTAAATCCAGCAGTACTCCAATGCACACTCTGGGGTGCCCAAGTCTTGGCTCTTGCCAACCTGCACCTAATACTCTCCTGGATTAGGTAAGCAGGATACATCCCTCTCGGGAAGGAGAACATGTATTCCCTTTCAGACACAGGTATTTCCATATGTAGGTGATAAACGTGGAATTCTTCAATCTGGTTGCATACTCTTAAACATGGTGATGGGTTTCCATATGTATCAGACACCCAAATGACCAAAATAAATCTTGTGGTAACATATCTATTGATTCATTCAACGATGGAAAGCTGTGCTACACAAACATTATTAATAATAATAATAATTCAATGCGGCATTCGATACGGTCGACCATGCTATCCTCCTCCACCGCTTATCCTCCCACCTCAACCTTCAAGGCCCTGTCCTTGAGTTGTTTAGGTCGTACCTCTCCCACCGTCTTCACTTTGTTTCCACGAATGGGTTTTTCCTCCAGCCCCCGCACTGTCTCGTGCGGTGTCCTTCAGGGCTCTGTCCTCGGTCCCCTCCTCTTCACCCTCTATATGCTCCCCCTTGGTGACATCATCCGCAGACATGGGGTTAACTTCCACATGTATGCGGATGACACCCAACTCTACCTTTCCTCCTCTACCCTCAACTCCACGACCACCGATGTCCTGACAACCTGCCTGTCCGACATCGAGTCCTGGACGAGAGACAACTTTCTTCAGCTCAACGTGCGTAAAACTGAAGCCTTCCTGATTGGCTCGCGTCAGCGCCTCCGCACCTCAGGTGCTGACAGCATCAGCATCCAAGGCTGCACTCTCCACCTCTCAAAGCCGGTCAGGAACCTCGGTGTTCTCTTCGACCCTGAGCTGTCCTTTCTCCCTCATATCCGCACCACAACTGGCACCACCTTCCATCACCTCCGGAATGTCACCAGACTACGGCACTACCTCACCCCTCACGCTGCTGAAACTCTGGTCCACGCCTTTATCACCTCAAGGCTGGGCTATGGGAACACTCTCCTCGCCGGCCTTCCCGGCACCTCCCTCCACAAGCTGCAGGTCATTCAGAACTCTGCAGCTCGTGTACTGTCCCACACCAGGCTTCGTGACCACATCGCTCGCCTCCACTGGCTCCCCATCCCCCAGAGGATCAATTTCAAGATCCTCATCCTCACCTACAAGGCCATTCACGACCTTGCTCCCCCTACCTCTCCGACCTACTATCCCCCTACCTACGTGCCTGTACCCTCCGTTTCTCTGGCTCCGGTCTGCTCCACATCCCCCGCCCCAACCGCCCTACCATCGGTGGCCGGGCCTTCAGCCTCTCAGCCTGGAGGCTCTGGAACTCTATCCCCCAGTACCTTTGCCTTGCCTCCTCCCTTTCCTCCTTCAAGGCCGGTCTCAAGACCTTTCTCTTTGACCGTGCCTTCAGCTCCCCTTTCGACTCTCTACCCCCTCCTCGCTTCCTCCCTTCCCTCCCCTCACCCTGACCATTTCCCCCATGCTCGGGTCCTGACCCAACTGTACAGCGCCTTGGGACGTCCTCTCGACATGAAAGGCGCTCTATAAATGGAATCTTGTTGTTGTTGTTGTTGTAATAATCCTTGCATTTGATACAGCGCCTTATCACATCTTCGAGACATCTCAAAGCGCTTCACAGAATATACTGTAAAGTGAATTGACTGTATATTTTGTGGGTGAAACGCGGCAGCCAATTGCGCATAGCAGTGTCCCACAAACAATCGTGGATTGAAGTGACCAATTGATTATTATTACTTTTTTGAATGAATTATTACCCCTAGAAAAGTGATCCACCAATTAACAACCGGGTTCCTACTTACTGCTAGGTAAACAGAGCTGTGTGGAATAAGGAAACTTGCACAACGTTTCGCACTGCTGGGAATCGAACCCAGATCTCTCGCTTGCGAGGCGAGTGCTCTAACCACTGAGCTACAGGACTATTAACTAAGTTCCTTTACTCAGTCCATATTGATCTCGGAATTTAATTTTGTATAATGCACATTACAGGAGTCAATTTTGTAATTTTTTTATCATTTCTTAATGAGATCAATTTTTTTTTACAAATCTGAAAGTGCAGACTCACAGGAATCTGCCAATTTGATCTCTTTTTTTGAAAAAATATCCTTGCATTTGACATAGCACCTTTCACATCTGGAGAACGTCTGAAAGCACTTCACAGGATTTACTGTAAAAATGAGTTACTGTCTATTTTGTAGGCAAATGAAGAAGCCAAGTTGCACACAGCAATGTCCTACAAACAGCTGTGAAGTGAAGGACCATTTTCTTCTGGCAGATTGTTGGCCAGGACACTGAGGAAACTCTTCATGCCGCTCCATTGAATCTTTAGGCAGGATCTCAGTTTACCATCTCATCTAAAGACTGGATCTCCAACACACTCCCGGCACTGCATTGGAATGTCAGCATGAATTCATAATAGCAAAGAAAACCACATTTATTTGCAAAAACCTATGAAGCCCGTCATTGGCATCAGACATGACAATATCAAGAAATACTTCAAATGCTGGAAATAATAACCAAGAGTGCTGTGAATGCACAATAGCCATTTGGCATCTGAAAGTCGATGGTAGGTTAACATTTCAGCTGCAGCCATACTGTTTCCTGCAGTAAAATAATGTGTGGAAGGGAAAACTGATTTATGGGTCCTGCTTCAAATCGCATTATTGTTTAATTAGAGCTGGGCAGCAGTAAGGATCATCTAAGAACTTTTAAAATACAGTTTTAGAATGAAATTCAGATTAATTGTACTGCCTGCATTGACACTGCAGTGGTGCAAATTAATGTGCATCTTAAAACAACCTTCAAATGGATTGCTCAGACAGCCTTCTGCCTGTAATTGTGTGTGTGTGCAGTATAATCTAGAGATTAATTTGAAAGCAATAAACCTGGAATCTTCCTCATCTATTGATTCTAAAGATGCCTTTATTATCCTCTAAAATAGTATGCGGTGCACTGGAGGTTCAGTCTTTCGGATGAGATATTAAACCAAAGTCCCATCGGCCTATTTAGATGGAAGTTAAAGATCACATGGCACTATAGAAACGAGTTTTTCCTCGTGTCCTGGCCAACAATCCCCCAGATGAAATTGGGTCATTCAATTTACTGCTGTTTGTTTCACAAACTTCGTTAGAGGAGACACCATTCATTTGCCAAATATGCAATGGAGAGTGCTTACGTGAGACTGCTGGCTGATGAATGCATTCACCACTAATAGATTCATGAAAAATAATCTGATTTTTAATAGGCAAATGATCATGGTACTCACTTCCCAGTGTGGGGAACTTGTCTTGGGTTTGAAGAATTGACTTTTACCACCAGTGGGGAAAACCTTCTGACATTGACAAACACCTCAAATCTGACTCTTCCTTTGACGTTCACAAAAGGTAAGAATGATGTTCATTCCTCACAGTACATATTTGTAATTATAATAATCCTTGCATTTGATATAGCGCCTTATCACATTATTGAAAGATCTCAAAGTGTTTCAAAGGAATTAATGTAAAGTGTAGTAATTGTGCATTTGTAGGCGAATGTAGCAACCAATTTACCAAGCAGGACAGACAGATAGATACCTAGCCCTCTGTGTAATCTGAACAGAAGGAATGGGTTTGGTTCCTAGTACAGCTCTGAAATATGTAGCTGAGTCGAGTATTGTGTTACGTGTCACTGATGTAGAGAAAACATTGGAAAGGTTGACGTGTTATTCTACAGCTCTGTTTATAGGGGATATGTGAGCACAACAGAGAATGAATTTAGTTAAAATGTTCTGAATGATCTTTTCAGTTCCTCTTAATTCATGTTTCAGTTTCTGTTCTTTTGCTCAGAATCACGGGACAGTCGAATGTTCAAGAAGTTTCCTAAAGACCTATTGCAAGCCTTGGCTGAGGAACCACTGACTGCAAACTTTCACAAATGGAGCCTGTCTGTGAAGGTAATTATTTGGAGAGGACAAGTTTGCACGGCTATGGAGAGAGAGTGGGGGAGCGGGATTGATTTGGATAGCTCTTTTCAATGAGCTGGCACAGACCCGATGGGTCGAATGGCCTCCTTCTGTGCTGAGGCTCTCCTGATTGACTCTCTTCAGCACCTCCTCACCTCAGGCGTTGACAGTATCACCATTCATGGTTGCACACTCAACCTTGCTAAACCAGTCTGGAACCTTGGGGTCTTGGTCGACCCTCAACTATCCCTTCTATACCACATTCGCGCCATGACCCATTCTGCCTTCTCCCACCTCCGCAATGTCTCACATCGCAGGCCACCGAAACCCTCATACACGCCTTCATTACATCGAGGCTTGACTATGCAAACTCACTGCTTGTCGGCCTCCCCAACTCCTCCCTCCGCAGGCTGCAGATCATCCAGAACTCTGTAGCCCATGTCCTCTCCCGCACTAGGCTCCGTGACCCTATCACGCCCATCCTTGCCCAACTCCACTGGCTTCCCATTACACAGAGGATACAGTTCAAGATCCTGATCCTCACCTTCAAAGCCCTCCATGGTCTTGCTCCCCCCTACCTCTCCGACCTCCTAACCCTCTATCATCCTGTTCGCTCCCTCCGCTCAGCAGGCTTCACGTCCTCCGCCTTGCTCGCCCCACTATCGTCGGGCGGACCTTCCTCCACTCTGCACCCACCCTCTGGAACTCCATCCCGCAGTCCCTCCATCTCACCCCCTCCCTCGCCAACTTCAAGACCCACCTCAAGACCCTCCTCTTCGACTGTGCTTTCGATCTCCCTGCTTCCCCCCCTGCCCTCCCCCACCCCGACCTTTAGCTCTGGGCTGTAACTCTGTCTGTCCAGCACCTTGGGTCGTCCTCCCGACGTGAAAGACGCTACATAAATGTAATTTTGTTGTTGTTGTATAATTCTATCAAGGTATGGTATGGGGTCTTTCTAGCTTCAGGAATTGTGCAAAAAATAATAGAGTTATGCATAACACTGGCCAGTATATGAGTATAAATATTCTATAGAGAACACAAAGGTGTGTTTTTCTTAACTGAGCCACATCTAGTAATATCTCATCTAAATTATTGCACCTAAGGCTAATATGAATAAATGAACAGCATTTACCACTGGCACTACCACTAAAAAGGGATGAGTTGCATTATTTAGCTGAAAGCGGCACTGTAGTTGCTCTATCCCACACACACAGAATCCTGATGTCCGCACGAAAACCACATCAGCACAGATAGCCAGTACATTTTGGTTCACTTGTATCCAATAATACTTTGGGACCCATGTTGGGATTTTGAGCTCGCAGTCTATGATCAAACTCCAATGCAGAGGTGAAGGGATTCTGTATTTTCAGAGGTGTAATTCTTCAAACGAGATGTTTAGGATCCCACATTAAAGATCGCACGGCATTATTACAAAAAGAGGAGGGGGTTTCTCCCGGTGTCTTGGCCAACATTCACGCAGATAAATAAAAATGGTCATTCACTTCATGGTTGTTTGTGGAAATTGCTGTTGTATCAATTGACTGCCATTTTTACCTACAAATACACAGACATTACACTTTAAGTAAATGGTCTGAAGCACTGAGGTGTTTTAAGGATGTGATAAGGTACTATATCAAATGCAAAGATTATTATTACTGCATTTGTCTATCGGTATAAAGGTCAATACGTCCAACTGTATCATTTTATTCTTATTTGTGCTAGATGCATGCAATCTCCTCTCCCCAAAGATCAAGTGACTATGAAGGTTGCTGCTGCTTTGTTGATGTGCTTTGATCTTCCATCTTTTTTGCCACCAACGTCCTCCTCCTGTACCGAGGCACATTTTTGGGTTGTGTTGTAATTACAGTCGAAGACAATGTTGAGTGTAGAATCATTCCAGCAATGGTAATGCTAATAAAGTGTCTTTGTGATTAATTTCAGAATTTTACCAGCAATGCAAAACTGAGTAATTCCTACAGGATCCTGACCACTAACACGGACAGCCAGGGGTTGCAGTTTATATCCACCATGGAAGGTATGTGCAAATAGTTGCATCCAAAATAATTAAATGTGTTTTGTTTTCACTTAGTGCAGAGTTGCAGTTTTATTGTCATCTTTACGGTCATGGCATTTGTGTTATTAATTCGCGTAATAACTTCTAAACATGCCATTATGCATCTTTCTTGCTGTAGTCAATGCCTCCCAAGATGCTGCCAGATGCTATCTTTATTGCATCTGTACAGAGGAGACGTGGCCTGTAGCAGGTGATTAGTGCAGAATGAGAGAGGTGCACATTATTCCTAGGCTGCCTCAAACTGTTCATTAAGATTCTCAGTCAGTGTCAGCAGTGATTCATTCTGTGTGGGATGTCTCATGAACGAGTGAAACTACACTATCAGGACCTTGCCACTTCTAAATAATAATAATATATATTTACAGAATATATTGTAAAGTGAACTGACTGTATATTTTGTGGGCGAAACACAGCAGCCAATTGCATACAGCAGTATCCCACAAATAGTCGTGGATTGAGTGACCAAATTATTTTTTTTTATTTTAAACAAATTATTGCCCCCAGAAAAGTGATCCGCCAATCGACTAACAACCACATTCCTACTTACAGAGGCGTGTGGAATAAGGAAACTTGTTTGCCCTACCGGGAATTGAACCCAGGTCCTCTCGCTTGCGAAGCGAATGTTCTAACCAATAAATTACAAGACTCCACAAAATAAAGCTTTCCAATTTCAGTTATTAAAGTATCTTTTACTCTTGTATTACAGTGTTGACCTCTCAAGCCCACGCAGCAAATCCCAAAGCTCAAACTAAATCATGAATGAGCAATTCCCAATTGTAATGAATGGCTGTCTAACTGCACTTTGCTACTAGTTTGAACTCCCCAGCATAAACCCAAGTTGTCACAATGGCTTTAAAAATACTTATATACAAGCCTATGTACCAGAAAAAAATTCAGTTGACAAATGTAAAGATGTAAAATGATGGTGGAGGGAGGGGGAATTAAAAGGAAGAGAGGGTGCAAGAATAGAAACATTCACCTGGTGCAGTGCATTTACACTGCAGTGTTTCTGAAATCCTCTAATCCTACGACTGGGGATCTGTTTACTCTTAATAATAATAATAATAATCCTTGCATTTGATATAGCGCTTTTCACATCGGGAGGACGTCCCAAAGCGCTTCACAGAACACACTGTAAAGTAATTGACTATATTTGTGGGCGAACGCGGCAGCCAATTGCGCACAGCAATGTCCCACAAACAGTCGTAGATTGAAAATGACCAATTTATTATTGTTTTTGGTTTTTGGAGGGATTATTATTAGGTGTGTGGAGTAAGGAAACTTGCCCAAGGTTTCGCCCTGCCTGGAACTGAACTCAGGTCTTTCACTTACAAATTTTGTAGTATTTGTGCAATCTGTCCTGGATGTACCAGAATGCTTAAAGCAAGGCGACTTATTTGACCAGAAAAAAGTGGAATTATGGAAGATTAATGATTTGTTTGATTTAATGCAGCACGCAACTACCCTATTTATGCAGTTCAGTGGCATCCTGAGAAAAATCCTTATGAATGGAGCAAAAAAGAAAACATCCCACATTCCTTGACAGCTGTGAAAGCAGCATGGTACATGGCTGAGTTTTTTGTTAATGAAGGTATGGACGAACAAGAAAAATAATTCATCTGTCAGGTGAATTTTGTAAATCTGTAAAGAGTTTGGATTTTGCAAGTTTGCTAAAATTAATAATATTCCTTATATTTGATTCCTTATATTCTTTCGCATTGGGAGGATGCCACAAAGCAGCGTCACAGGTTTTACTGTGTATTTTAAGGCAAACACAGCAGCCACTTTGCCCACAGCAGTGTTTCACATGAAACCTTGAAGTGAATGATCAATTTTATTTAGGAAAGAGAGGGGTAATGACCAGCATAATGGGAGAATTCCCCTTCTATTTGTGCAATAGTGCCATAGGATCATTAATGTGGGATCCTGAACAAGCAGACAGTTTAATGTCTCATCCAAAAGAAGGCACCTTTAACAATGCTACATTCCCCCAGCACTGTATCGGAGTGTCAGCCTGAGCTCGAAGTTGCGACCTGGGCCTTGAACCCACAATGTTCTGACTCTGAGGCATAGGTTGCTACCAACTGACAGGCTGACACCTAATCCGCAGCGTTTCATAAAGATCCTCCTCAGAGCTCTTGGAATAGCCATGCTGGTGTAACCTTTCGATGTCATTGGAATATGTACTTTAAGAAGTGGTTTGCTATTACCAGAACATGCTCAAATCCACTCGATACTCTGTCTAGTGTCAAAATAATCCACTCCCACCAGCTGCAGGATACAGTGGTAAGCAGCACTCCTGCCAAATGGGTTGATTTTGCCTGGAGGGAAGCAAACTCTCTCAGACACAGGAGGAGGCCATTCAGCCCATCAAGCCTGTTCCACTCTTCCCAAATAAGAGCACTTTAGCGCCGTTACACTAGTTCTTGAGCTGAGGTATTAAACCAAACCTGTCCAGCAGATCACCACAGCCTTTGAGCACCACACTCACTACAAACACTGGAGAATAATCCCTTTGCCAAGTTCAGAATTTCCTTGCGAAATTTCTATTCGGTATTCCCCACTCTCTTTACCCACCTATACTGACCCATACAAGCAAAACCAGGAATCTCATTCAAGTTAAATGCAGCTTACATTTAATTTCTTCAGATCATTCATTCACACCCTCTCTCTGACTTTCTCCTACTCCAGTCCTCTGCCCGCCTCCTTCCCTCGGGCTTACTCTGGCCTCCTCCTCTGCTGCTACTACTACCTCTGGATCACTCTCCCTCTATCCTCAGTCTTGTCTCCCTCTCTTTTGCTTAAAAATCCCACCCAGAAACTTATCTCTTTGACTGTCGGATACCTACCTGTCCTCCTCCTGTGTTGGCTTCTGACCCCTTCCTTGTAAAATGTTTATTCTTCTATGTGAAGAGTTCTATGTAATTGCAAATTGTTGTTATAATTGCAAATCTTACACATTGGGTTACAAAGAAAGCCTGTGGAAAAATAAGCCACCTTTTTGTTTTTCAGCTCGGAAAAACCTCCATCATTTTTCTAACGAAACTGAAGAAGCAAAAGCTTTGATTCACAATTACTTGTCGATTTATACTGGAGACATCTCTAATTTTCAACAAATGTACTTCATCGATTAGGTCATACTTCAGATGAAGTGGATTTTGGCAGATTATATCAAATTACTTGGCTCTTGATCCATCAGCGATTGCTGTGCCCAGGCAGTCCTGTTCTTCCTTACAATGTTGTCAGTAATAAATAACTGATTAACCTACCTGCTGTGTGTTCATACTGTGTGGGGAAAGGCACTATTTGAAATTAATAGTAAATCACACTTAAAATACTACGAAAGCACCAATGTGTATAAAATCAACCACATGATATTTCCCAGATGGAAGTTACTGCCTTTAAAATCTTGTAACACTTCGGCGCTTGTGAGTTGTGGATCTTTCACACATGAAATGATCCTGTAATTCACAGCTGCCTCTATGATACCCTCATCTATATTCAGGTCAATTTACTCAGAAGCCTCTACTCCCGGTAGCTGCTTGTTAAATATTCAGCAGGCAGAATAAGTATTGTGTTATAGACGGCCAAACTATCACCAAATCATATCTCTTAATGGATGCCTAATATTAACACATTGAGTGCTTTAAGTAAATCACATTAGTCACACTGTGAATTCTCCTGTAATTTGCTGGTTTTGCCAAAGCCCAATGGTTGGAAAAGTACAGTAGTTTGTGATTGTTCGCTATGGCAGCTTGTTCTTCATTAGGGACTGGACCAAAGTGATTCTGTGGCTGTGGTTTGTAAAAATTGTATGTCTGTTTCTAACCTCTGAATAATTCTAACCTCAATGAGTGTGCTTCTCAATTTATTGCCTGTTTGGTAAATGACCCCATTCAGTGCCAATTGTTTCAAAGGGCAAAGTGCATGCCTTGTGCTGTGATGAAACAAATTTGTCAAAAGTCTCGAAAAGAGACATCTCAGAGGGAACTGTAGAGGTATAGAAGATTCTAAATGGGACAGAGAAAATAAACCCACAACAATGTGTTAAATTCACCACAATTATACAGTCAATTCACTTAAAAGTATATTCTGTGAAGCGCTTTGAGAAGTCTAGAAGAGTTGAAAACGCTATATCAAATGCAAGGATTAATTTTATTATATTATTAAGTTACATCAATGCAGCAGGACAAGAGGGTCCAGGGCTGTGAAAGGCAATTTTCAGATAGGCACCAGGAAGTATTTCTTTACATTGAGGGTAATTAACAGCTGGAATAGGAACCGTGGTCGTGGCCAAAACACTGGGCACATTTAAGAAACACTTTGATGCTGTATTGGGAAGATGGGAGGATGACATCAAATGGTCCAGAGAGCTTTCTCCACCTGTACCTCTGTTTACACTTTATAAAAACATTGTATTTCTTGGCTGCTTTTATGTCTGTCCCACAAATTCCAGGAATACATATCACCACCCAGGGGAGAAAGCAATTCTCAAACACCTAAGGTCTGGACTTTTTGTTGTGGGTTTTAGGTTGATCCTTACGCAGTAGGTTCATTTAATCGATTCGGTATTTGAAAATAAATAGTTGTGGAAAGATCACAGCTCTGTGGAGTTGCAGCAACAGCATTTTCTGCAGGGAATCTCCTGTACTCTGAGGCCAGAATCCTAATGTGGAGTCAGGCACTTTGAGTTGCTACCAGAGTGCTACCAACTGAGACAGGATGAGGCCTGAAACTGTAATGAATATTCTTTTGTAAATTTAATGCAACTTTCCTTTTTACTGTGATTTTTGTGAAAACTATTTTCTCTGAAGGAAATGCCACTTCCTTTTGAAGCTGTTTGCTTATCTCTTTATACTCATTGCTTTGATCTTTAGATTGATACTCTTTTTATCTTCAGAGCAGATTATGCTTGTACTGTGCATCTAGCATCTATGTGCTCCAGATCTTTGAGATAAACCTCAATAAAATCAATTTTGACAATGTTTATTTTGGGACTGATCCTTCAATACATTAAATTGTGTGTGTTTATTTTGCGATGCAAAATTGCCAATATAGAGTGCAGTTACGTTTTGGAATCGTTAACATTTGAAGAAACTCACTATAACTGAGTGTGACGTTGACTTTTATAGCAGCGCAATTAGTAACACCTGCCTCTGGACGTGTTTTCAAGCACCGTGTCTGGACTTTGAATTCACAGTCTAAGCTTTCTCAGCATACAGTCTGGAGTCACCATACAGTCTTGAGGTGACCATAAGCATGATCAAAAAAGTCTTTAGGCAGGATTTGAAAGTGGGGAGGGAGGGGGCAAGGTGGAGAGGTTGAGGGAGTGAGTTCCAGAACAAAGTGGCTGAAAGCATGGCTACCGATGGTGGCGAGGACGGTGCAAGGGACGAACAGGAGGCCGGAGTCGACCGAGCGGAGGCAGGGGGTGGTGGAGGGAGGGGTAAGCAAATCGGATAGGTAGGGAGGTGTGAGAGCATGAAGGGATATACACAATATATACAGTAATAGCCATACATACAGTATGGAAATATGCCAGCAACTTCATCTGCTATCTGTCTAGCATATGAAGAACACTCAATTATAATGAGTGTCTTGGATTGATATTGATGCCGCATTGCAAGACCGCATTTAACCACAATTATATGCAAAGAGCAAGTAAGATGAAAAATGATTTTGTCTCCTTCATCTTGGTGGTCAGTTAACATTGTATGTTTCAACCTTTGAGTTGGCTTTACCAGCCAGAGTACCAGACTCAGCCAACATTCCCAGGCTGGAAAAAGAACCAGCAGGAAGTTCATGGAGATGAAAGTAACTGGTTGGTTACAATTCACTAGGAAAGTTGATATAGTTTAATTGGCTGTTTGAAACTTAAGACGTTTATTGCCTTCCTTCCCTCATCTGAAGGTGTCTTCACTCCCGATTCCTTAAACTGGAGGATTATTCTCAAGATTTTTGTCAACCTTCGGTGCCTTTAAATTGGATCAGTCCAAGTTGCTATTATTCTTATGTGATCCTTGACAGTCAGTGTTAGCAGGCTGTTCATTAACAGGACATATCAAGCCACGTTTGACCCCATTGTTCACCTGACGCTCCAATGCATGCACACTTTGCAGCACGGGTTTCTGGATAGACAGACAGCATGATAATTTTTTTTTCTATCTTGGCTGCAAACTGAAGGGTATTAACATCAAAACATCAATTAACACTTATGAAGTGGCTTTTATGTAGGAAGAATGTTCCAAAGTGCTTCACAAAGACTGAGTGGGAGTCCAACCTGAGAAGTTGGTACGGGAGGGGAGTGACAGGAAGTGCTGGCAGGGCTATTTGTGGGACTTTGCAAATTAATTACCACGTTTGCCCTCAAAATACATTTACTGCACTCTATAGTAAATAAGCTACATCAAAAACAAAGGAAAGGGGCAAAATTCTACAGACGCTGGAAATCTGAAATATAAACAGAAGTCACTGGGAACACTCAGCAAGTCAGGCAGCATCTATGGAGAAAGGAAAATTAGTTAACATTGTCAATGACTTTTTGTCAGAATTGGGGGATGTGGGAAGGGAGCAGATTATAAGGACTGCAGAAATGAAGTTTATTATTAAAATTGTGGGTTTTAAGATCCACATCACGACTTGAGTTCATAATCCAGGCTGACATTCCGATGCAGTATTGCAGCGCTGTATTCTTTTGGATGTGATATTTAATTGAAATCCAATCTGCCTGTCCTGAGATGGGCATTAAAGATTCCATGATACGATTCGGAAAGAGGGAGGAGTTTCACCAGATGTCTTGGCTAACAATTCTGCACTTAAATTGGTCATTCATCTCATGGCTGTTTTGTGAGGCCTTGCCGTGTGCAAAGTGCAGGATTGCTTGCAAAAATAGTCACCACACTTGAAGAATTACTGAAAACTGCATTCAGGTGTTTTGATGTGATAAGGCAATATGGAAATACGAGCTTTTCATTCTATATTCTTTTTTGGTCTCCTATTTGCATAATATATGCAAGGATGGAAACTGTAATCCCTTTATCATGGCACTTTATCTGGGCTTCAAAACCAGCACGTTTTAATCATTTGTTCCAGTGCTCATCTGAATCTCTATCAGCACAAAATACAATCAGAAGACATTTATCTACATGCCACTTATCTAAATCGACCAGTTAACCAAACTAGCTGTTTGCCTCAGCATGCCCTGCATGTCAAATTATTTCACTGTAGCAGTTATCAACTTGAATTAGTATCATTTAATTCAGTATAATATTATCATTAATACACTGTCAGTTATCCAAAATATTCTCTGGTGTGAACTGGGTTGTTTCCTGAACTGTTTGGCGAGGCAATGTTTGACCACATTCCAGGAAGGCACCTGAGTGGAAGGCTTTATGATATAATAATCCTTGCATTTGATACAGTGCTTTCATGTTGGGAGGATTTCATAGCACCAGCAAAGCCTGCGTCAAATATGATTGACAGCCCCTTTGCGTACCTCGTGGAGCTGGTTTTAGTGTGAGGCTGTGAGCTAACAATGGGAACGCTTAATGTGTCAAAAAACCACAGAGATCAAAATGTGAACTAGCTCTTTTAAGAGTTTATCAAAATACTATATATCTTTGTTGGGGCAATAGCTGCCTTTGATGTCTAATTTAAATGGAATTTTCAAGATGCTGCACAAAGCATAAGAGAGGCAAGAGAAGGAAGGCTATTTAGCATAACTGAAGTGCATCAGAAGTTCACAGCACAGAAGGAGGCCATTCAGTCCATCATGCCTGGTGCAAGCAAAACTTCCCCACTAGTGCCATCTGTTTCAATTCCCCTGCTCTTTCACAGTACCCTTTAATATTGATTTTCTCAAGTAAGTATCCAATTCTCTTTAAAATGTTGTTAAGGATTTGGCTAAAACACCCATTTATGGTCCAGCATTTGAGCAAATCTCCGTGCAAAAATATATTCTAATTTTTTCATTTTCTTATGGCGATGATCCTCAATTTATGCTTTCTTCAAACTAGAATTAAATGGAATTGCATAGAATCTTCAGCACAGAAACAGGCTGTTGAGCCCAACTAATCCATGTCAATGTTTATACTTTACATGAGCCTCCAACCCTCCTAATTCTGTCTCCCTAGTGTCTCCCCATATCCTTCTATTCCCTGTTCTTACATGTATGCATTACGTTTCCGCTTAATGCGTTGATGTGTTTTGCTTCAACCACAGTGAGTAAAGAAGTTCCTCCTAAACTCTCTTTCAGATATGTTAGTGTAATTGTACATTTATACTACCTTGTGACTTCCGATACTGACTCGTCACTTTGTTAAACTATGTATTTACCTTATCAAAACCATCCCTAAAGGAACTAAATGAGTGCAGGGTACATAGGTGGACAGATTTAGGAAAAATAATGCAAAAGTGATAATATGAGTGTTCCTTTCATTATTTAAGAAGCACAGAAAGAATGAGCATAACAAATGGAGTAACTTCAGTGAATTATTAGGTGAATTGTGTACAGAGGAGGGAATTTCACAAGCAAAGTAACGTTTTTCTGATGGATTGTCTGCTCACAACTAGAAATAGTAACATTATAAGATGATACTCCAGTGCTGGGGGTGTGTAGCATTGTTGGAGGTGCTGTCCTTTGGATGATACGTTAAACCGAGTTCCCGTCCAAATCTGCCTGTTCAGGTGGACGTTACAGGTCCCATGGCACAATTTGAAAAGAGAAGGGATTTTCTCTTATTGTCTTGGACAACAATCTTGAAATAAAATTGGTCACTCATTCCATGGCTATGTTGTGCGCAACTGGCTGCCACATTTTATCCATAAAAGGGGCTATATTAAATGCAAGGATTATTATTATTATTACTATTATTGGACAGCTACCTAAATGTTGTGCATATTTTGTGGCTTCCACATGCCTTCACTTACACTTTATTCAAGACCGGATAAAGCTCGGTATTCATTAACCTTTTCAATTGCATTCTACATGGGAGTTCTTAAAGCGCCCTCTTTTCTTACAACACCCAAGGCACAAATATATTTGAATCAGAATCAAATTTGCTGTTACTGTACCACATTTGGCACATAACACTTTTGGTATAAATACACTATTTAGTGTGAAGCTGTGAAATATGAAATTTGGCTTACAAGTGAGCCTATATGCTCGCTCATCACCACCCCCACCTACTCCGCTCTCCTCTCTTGACAACCCTCCTCCTCCCATCTTCCTCTTCCAACCCTCCCCAAGGGGGCAGGCGCATTTAAGAATAGCATTTAGATTCCATATCAGAGTCTCATCTGGTTCATCATAAGGATGTTGTCGTAATAATAAAACCACGGCACAAGACAACAACAAATTACATTTGTATAGTGCCTTTCATGTCAGGAGCACAATTCTCTCTTTAAACGCTGCCAAATCACACTTGGCTGGATAGTGCTGCTGTATTTGTGGCTAATTTAGCAACATGTTCTCATTTGTTCCCTTTCACGGAGTCACGCAACAAAAAAAATCATGTCTGTCCCATTGTCGAGGCCAGGAAGGCTGCGAGAAACAGTCCTTTAGACTTTTCTGAGTAGCGGTGACCAGTTGCATGTGGTATAAGATGTAAAGTGGAGTCCTGTAGCTCAGTGGTTAGAGCACTCGCTTTGCAAGTGAGAGACCTGAGTTCAATTCCAGGCAGGGCGAAACCTTGGGCAAGTTTCCTTACTCCACACGCCTAATAATAATCCCTCCAAAACTAAAAACAATAATTAAATTGGTCATTTTCAATCTACGACTGTTTGTGGGACATTGCTGTGCGCAATTGGCTGCCGCGTTCGCCCACAAATATACAGTCAATTCACCTTACAGTGTGTTCTGTGAAGCGCTTTGGGACGTCCTCCCGACGTGAAAAGCGCTATATCAAATGCAAGGATTATTATTATTATAAATCGCTCTGAGGAGTATTACAGAGAACTGCAGCTTTCTAATAATCTTAATAAGAATAAAGATTGAATCATTACTCTCTTACCGCCTACACACACACACACACACACACTGTAGGAGCAAAAATGGGGATCAGAGAGGAGCTCTCATATGCCCTCCTGTGTCTGAGCATGGTACATGTTTTACCGTAGTTCAGAGTGAGAGGGCAATGGCAACAACAATGTGCATTTATGTAGCGCCCTTCATGTGTGGTAGCATCTCGGAGCACTTAAACGTGGGGGACCATGATGCTGAGCTAGAGAGAGAGGAGGTGGCATAGGTGACATAGGCACGGTCGAAGAGGAATGTCTTCGAGTGTGATCTGAAGGTGGGAAAGGAGGGGGCAAGGTGGCAGGATTAAGGTAGAGACAGAGACTCAGAGCATAGTGTCTGAAACCACAGCTGCTGATGGTGGAATCGTGGAGGGGATGAAGGATGAGCAGCTGAGCAATGGGGATGGATAGAGGAGTGGGGTGTAAGGAGCTTAGAGATTAGTGTGGTGCCAGGACATGAAGTGATTTGCTTATGAATGCAAGGATCTTGAAATCAGTCCAATCGATGGTGGTTTAGTCCAGTATTTTCTCCTCTTAGGTCATTGGTCATTGTTGGAAATTGCTGTGTGCAAATTGGCTGCCATGTTCATCTATAAAAACAGTCACTAAAGTTTATAATAAATTCTGTGAAGTGTTTTGAAATGTTTCCACAACACGATAGGGCGCTATATCAAATGAAAGGATTATTATTCTTTGGTTATATTTATAGATATTACTGTACAATGAACAGATCTGTAAGAGATTTCAAAAGATGTCTTTGTTTTCTACTTGAAATAGACGTTTCTTTGTTACTCAGTTTACACTTCCCTTTTCAACTTATTTCCCGAGAAAAAGCACTGAAAAGAAAGTTGCACTACAAAACTACTCGAAGCGACACGAGGGGGCACTTTGCACTAACAACTGTAGGTGCCTTTACTCATTCCTGAACAGGACCCAGTGGTTGTGTTTATAAATCATTGTCAATCTCCAAGTTAGTGATGGAACAGTACAATTGATATTAGGACCTCTAGGCTGGGGAAGAGGGGAGGAGGGAAGGAGGTTATCAGTTGGGAGGGAGGTTCCTGATGCTGATCGCTTTCCCACCCCTAGAAAGTCACAGTTCAGGCTGACTCTTCAATGTCTGGGGGGAACGGGGTCCTGCATTGTTGCAGGTGATGTCCTTTGAATGATACGTGAAACTGAGGTCTTGTCGCCTTGTTCAGGTGGACATCAAGATCCCATGGTACCATTCGAAAGGCGAAGGGAGTTTCTCTTCGCTTTTCGAATGGATTCATCCACACCTTCAGCTAGATCCATCCACACCTTTAAGAGTGAGATTGATAGATTTTTGGTAGGTCAGGGTATTAAGGGATATGGGGAGAAAGCGGAAAATTGGAGTTGATAGATTTGTTGAGGTACAGATTAGCCATGATCTAATTAAATGGCGGAACAGGCTCAAAGGGAATGGTCCCTGTTCCTACGTTCTCCTGGTATCCTGGCCAACAATCCCTCAGCCAAAATTGATCTTTCACTTCATGGCTGTTTGTGGGTCGTTGCTGTGCTCAAATTGGTCGCTGCTTTCATCCACAAAATACAATAATTACTCATTATAGTGAAAGCTGTGAAGCTCAACAACATGGTAAAGTTCTACATCAATGAAGAGTTAGGGGTGATGGAAAGCAGAGAGGTGGGAGGGCAACTGAAGGCACGATCAAAGAGGAGGGTCTTGAGACCGGCCTTGAAGGAGGCAAGGCTGGAAGTGAAGTGAGGGGACTGTGGGATGGAGTTCCAAAGTGTAAATATTAAGATCTTAAAGACTAAGTGTAGTGTGTGTAATTCAGAGACCATTGCTTGTTATACAATGTACAATTTAATCATTTTAAACTGACATGAAGTATTTGCCATTGATACTGATTTTTACATGATACCCAGGCTTTCTAGGTAAGTAAAAATTGTTTTATCGCGTTTCTATCAATAACACTCTCAATACACATAAGAATGTGCATATATGTACAAGATTTTGTTTAAAAAAAGTTATGCAAAAATGTGCTTTACCCATCAATTCACCACAACCAGAGATCCAGAACCTAGAGGCTACCATTGAAACACGCAATGCACATCGGCTGCATTAGTAACACACACACACACACTTGCTTCCAGCAGAAACTCAGCAGAGTCTAAGGCCTTTTTGGAAACTAAAGAAATCTGAACAGTGTTACGATCTGGAACCAGCAGATTGCTTTTAGTGGTACTCATAAAAGCTGAAGCTACTGATGCTTTTTGGTGCAGGCATTGCTCTCAGGGAAATGCTCAGCAACAGCTAAGAGAGGTGGAACTTTCTGCTCCAACCTGTTTGTGATGTTTATTTGCAAAGCAGAAAATAGATTCTCTGGAGCTCTTCCCAAATGGAAACACAACCCGTTTTGAAGAAGTATGCTCAATCCATGAACCAGACCTCATCCGATTTCAGAACTTTTCCCTAACATACCAAAGATGTATCCATGGAGGAATGGGGGGGAGGAAATATCCACAAACCCTGTATCTATCACTCTGTTTCCAATCCGAGACACTTTTCCTATTTCGTTTTTTTTTCTTTACGAAATTGCCCCCAATCTAAAATACAAAAACAAGTCTGCATTATTGCCCTGGTGATTTCTCAGTTCTAAATACAGACTGTTTTAGCTGTGTTGGACAATATGTTGGATGAATGCTCAAATCTGCCAAATGCCTTCTAAATCGGTAGGATTGTGTCGGGCGAAACAAAGAGCTGGGGTATAACAATCATGCACCACTCCACAGATTACCAGGAGAAGATTTCTTTTCCCCAAAAAAACTCAGTAGGACACAGCAAAAATGAGAATCTGTTCTCTCTCCCTCTCTCTCTCTCTTTCTCTCACAGCTAATCTATAATCTGTAGAATGGCCTAAAAGACATGGTGCACCTAAAATGTCTGTAACCTTCACAAGACTACAAAATACTGGGATGCTACATTATCTTACAAATGTGATAAGAATTAATACTTCATAAATCCATAAAAAAGTATTTTTGTACATGTTGAAAACTGACCCATTTAAATGCCTTAAAAGATGAATTGGTACTGTCAGAGGTATTGATTCCCTCTGAGAACAAGTCCAGTAATATAATTGTGTTCCTCGTTGGGTTTATACCTGAAACAAATCACTTGACTACAGTGAATTCACTGCAAGTTTGCTACAGTGTACATACTTTACACTACACGCTCCATACAAGATACCATTATTGTACAGAAAAGCACAAGGAACAGTCAGTAACCATTGTTCAGAAGGGACGGCTGCAAAAAATTAGGCCTTGACTTGAGATTTGGTCAAAAATGAATTGTGATGTGGGAGTATATGCCCACGTCTGATATCAGATAGAATGTTTTCTCTTTGAACTGTAGTTCGAAGTATCTCTCCTTCTCCTGTTGCCCCATCCATCCGTGATCATGTGCTGCTGTCATTTACTTCGACCTGAGTAAGAGAAAACAATATATTTAAGTAGTACTCTTAGATTTCACTGCTAATGTTAAAACATTTTACTCCCTCTTGACTTGGCTGTGACTCTCTAAATTCATCCATAAGAGTGTTGTAGGCCTTCGATAAGGCCTGGAGTTGAATCTTCGCCCTCTGAGTGCGAGCAAACATTGGATTGCTGGAAATGCTTGCCACCATTGTCTGGAGAGCAAAACAGATAGTGAGCTGGGCTGGTGGGTATGCCTGCCTCAGAACATTTCAGATCTACCAAAATCATTAATGCCTTGTGCCACAGATAAATAGATTGTGGAGTTGCCATTAAAATCCTCCATCTCAGCAAACCACCCAAGAGACGAGACACCCTCCCTATGAGTAGCAAAGGTGGAGAACATAGAAGGAACCATTGGGCAAGTAATGCTCCTTGCCAGAGGTAAAATATTGAGTGGTGAAAGATAAAGGAAGAAAATGTCATGAGGTTCCAAATGTTAATACACAACAGGTAAAGAATGCAACGTTTCACAACAATAATAACGAGAATCCTTATATTTGGTGGAGCATCTTTCACATCAGGAGGATGGCAGCTCGCTTTTCATTCAAAAAACAAATAATAATAATAATTTGATCACTTAATCCACACTGTTTAAGGGACACTGCTGTGCACAACTGGCTGCTGTCTTTCGCCCACAAAACACAGTCAATTCACTTCACAGAATATTCTGTGAAGCTCCTCGACATGTCTATTTGAGACGTCTCGTGTGGTGTTCCTCAGGGCTCTGTCCTTGGTCCCCTCTCCTTCAATATCTATGTGCTCCCTCTTGGTGACATCATCTGTAGACATGAGGTCAACTTCCACATGTAAGCGGATGACACCCAACTCTATCTCTCTGCCTCCACCCTTGACTCCAGGACCACTGCTGTCCTGACAGAATGTTTGTCAGACATCAAGTCCTGGATGAAAGCTAACTTTCTTCAGTTGAACATCAACAAGACCGAGACCCTCCTGATTGGCTCCTGTCAGTGCCTCCTCATCTCAGGCGCTGACAGCATCACCATCCACGAATGCACACTCCGTCTTGCTAAGCCATTCCAGAACTTTGTTATCTTGTTTGACCCTCAACCCTCTACCCCGCATCCTTCCATAACCCGCTCTGCCTTCCCCAACCTCCGCAACATCGCCCGCCTCGCCCCCCACCCCCACCATTGGCAGGCGGGCCTTCTGCCTCTCTGCCCCCAAATACTAGGATAATTTCAGTTTCTGTCTCTGATATGACAAGTCACTGACACTACTGATGTCCCCTACCTCGTCCGCCCCACCATTGGTGGGTGGGTCTTCTACCAATCTGCCCGTACCCTCTAAAACTCCATCCCGCAGTCCTCCGCGTCGCTCCCTCCCTTGCCTCCTTCAAGACCCATCTCAAGACACTCCTCTTCAACCATCCTTTTGATCACACTGCTTCCCCTCCTGTCCTCCACCCTCCCCAATCCCGACCCCCAGCTCGGGTCCAAAACTCGAACTGTCCAGCGCCTTGGGACATCCTCCCGATGTGAAACCCGCTATACAAATGTAATTTTGCTGTTGTTGTCTAGAAGACGTGATAAGGCGCTATATTCAAATGCAAGGATATATAAGTCCAAATGCTTCACAGGCTATACTGTAAAGTGCACTGTCTGCATGTAATTTTTGTGGGTGAACAATTATTGAATATGGTATAAAATTTTGCATTTTTATCCGTTCCCAAAGACTGGTGGTGAATGTGAACTCTTCTGCCCCCACCCACATAAGACCATAAGACTATAAGAGGTAGGAGCAGGAGTAGGCCATTCGGCCCCTCGAGTCTGCCCTGCCATTTAATATGATCATGGCTGATCTTCTAACCTAATTCCATTTACCTGCCCTATCCCCATATCTCTATCCTTTAGAATAGGGAACATAGGGACATGGGGACATGTTCCACATAAGGAACAACTGTTGGGTTCGAAGATTGCAGCACTCAGTATTCCTCCTCATGGCTTTACTGCGTCTGAGAATAAAGTAACTCAGGCGTTAGCACTCAAACTTTGGCTCCAAAACTGAAAAAAATCAGGCCTTCTTAGCGGTAGCAAAGTACCAAAGCAGCCAACTTCAACCAAATCAGTATGCCAAAGCCAGAGAAGGGGGCGGGGGAGGAGGGGATATTAACAACCGCAAACAGGCATTGGAATGGATAGGGAAGGACAATGTTTTATACCAGATTCCTATATGAAACATTGCATTTTTCACCCCAAACATTAACTGAATCGAACCACGTTATTTATTCAAAGTCAGACAAGAAGTAGCAGTCATAGGTGATGTTGGTGAAACCAGTACAAAAGCTGGAACTGTCGTACTTCATTTGCCAAAGTGAATCTGTGAGTTAAAGATTGCATGAACGGTAAATTGTATTATTCTCCACTTGCTGGTAACTTTACCCACTTTAACAACAGATATACTTCTAACACTTTTTTTNACACACATCTAGCACCAAGGTGGCTACATGTACCAGCTGGCAAAGAATAACACCGTAGCAATGCAACCAGTTCTGTAATGCAGACTGTGCCGTCATTGGGCATTACATGCTGATAAAGCGACTGAAAGATGGAAATATGTGGCTGCATAAAGGAAAATAGAGTCACACTGTTAGTAGTATTTGCTCTAGAAAACATGTCAATCAAACCTCACATTGCTTGCTTCAAATACACACCCATTCAACGTAATGATTTAAATGAAAAGCCTTACAAAAAACTAAAATTAATTCCTTACTTTATGTAGGTTTGCATCAGGAATCTTTTAACGTTACAAAGCCATTTGCAAGTCTCCAAGCTTCTAAACAGCTTGCAAGACAGTTGTGTGAATACTGTCAAAAGCCAGTGACTTTGAATTACTATCTCTTCTCCTGCCAAGATTCCAAAAGCTTTGGTTCAGATGCAGTAATGGAAAGCCTGCTTCCCCAATGGGAAGCAACTATCCAATCCAAAATTCATCAGTAGCATCAGTGACTTATCATGTCAGAGACTGAAACTGAAATTGTCCTAGTATTTGGGGGCATCTAAGATTCCTGCTATTTTTACACCTAATCATTAGCGTAGTGCCTTCTAGCTGGAGTTAAAGGTTTACTGAAGGAAACTCATAGCAACCCAGCAGTGTGGTTCCAGGGTATTTGCAATAGGGATACTTGTCTCATAGTGTTATTGCATTTTTCAGTTACCGAAGTGCTGTTTCTGCATAGGCTCATCAATACAGAGCAAACAGGCTGCACGGAGTTGAGATTGAATGCCTATTTGGCTTACATTGGTAACACTCTCACCTCTAGATCAGAAGGCAGTGGGTTTGAATCACACATCAGAGCTTGGTTTTACAACATGGCTGACACACCAGATGGAGCTCTGCATTGTCAGTGGTTTCACCCTTCAAACGCAAAAACCAAGACCTGGATATTAAAAGTCCAATAGCAGTATTATATGAAGAACAGGGAGATCTACCAGTGTTCAGAACATTGAAAATTTCTCCTCAACCAAATACACCATAAAGCAGATTAATTGATCATTCATCTAAGTCCTGTTTAGAAGATGTTTTCTAGTCCAAATTAGCAGGCATATTTGTATAACAAAGGTCACTACGCTTTAAATCAACTCACTGTATAAAGTGCTTTGAGAGGTTTTGTCATGGTAATGAAAGTATTCTTATTATTGTATGATTCTTTTTCATCTGGAGTCGCCGAGTCACAACAGAGTCAATTAGATGAGTTACTGATTTGTTATGTACATAAAATATTTATCTTTAACTCCTCAATTTCATTTCAAGACAATCTCTTATTTAGAATTTTGCCTAATCCAGTGCCCAAAACAGAATTGTCAAGCGCTTTGGCATATCCTCCTGATATGAAAGGCATTATATAAGTGTAAATTATATTGTAATCCAACTTGGGTCAAAATGATCACTGAGTAAACTATTATTTTGTGGTTCACAATGCACAGCAGTGAAAGTCCACAAAATATACAGTCTATAACTTTACATTATATTCTGTGAAGTGCTTTGAGATGTCTCGAAGATGTGATAAGCCGGGCCAATAGAAAAGTGCAGAAATATTTGCCAAAAATTGCACGGAGATTTGACAATTGTGGGCGGATGATTGATGCTATTGAGGTACATTTTATTGCATTTTTTCACGTTATTGATAAAACCTAAAAATGAGGAAATAATATGTATTAGATTGTTGCAGAAAAAATATTAATTGCTTCATTAACAAAAACTGGACAACCGTTTTTTGGGGGGGGGGGGGGAGTGGCGGAGTGGACCCAAGGGAGGCTACAGGAGCTCACTATCTTGTGCCTTTCGGGGGGGGCAGCACTGCACACAGATACAGAAACAGAGACCCAGAGAGAGACACACAGACAAACAGAGAGAGAGACACTCACAGACACAGAGAAAACACACACGCTCAGAGTGACACACATTCTCAGAGAGAGACACACACACAGATAGGAGAAACACAGACAATCACACAGAGACCTCGTAAACACACACACAAAAGAGACACACACAGACACACTCACAAACACATACATATAGAGGAGACACACAGACACACTCATGCAAGGACATTCACAAACATACACACATACAGAGGCGAAAGACAGACTCACATAGAGAGACTGACAAATACATATAAAGAAAAGACACTCACACACACACTCAGAAACACACAGAAAGAGAGACACACTCACATAGAGACATTCACAAACACGTAGAGAGAGATATACACAGACACTTACAGAGACACTCTCAAATACATAGAGAGACATCCTCACACACAGACACTCACAAACACATAGAGAGACACACACTCACACAGACACTCACAAACACATAGAGAGAGAGAGAGACACATAGACACTCACAAACACAGAGACACACACAGACAAACACAAGGTCTCTGAGTGAAGCCCATTCCCCGCTAGCGCCACACAGTGCATGCACG